GTCTGTCCAGTGTGTGACATTCTATAGCTGTTTCCTTAAGCGTGCATTTCAGTAAACGGCCTAAGTGAACATCAAGTTCGAACTGCGGATTTAGAACCAATAATGATGGACCTATTACTTTAACGTCACACACTCATTGACGGATTTATAGTTTACTACTGCCTATGTTGCTGGATGGCTGCTCAAATTTTGTGCAGCTCTGTACCTCCCCTCTTGGAGATTATAGTAATTTGAGGGCAGAATCACATTGATCTGGTATTTTCAATCTGAAAAATAGTTCTGCTGACTTGCAAATCTACAGAAATGGAATATGACAATAAAACTATTATTTGGCATTTAGGTTGCGAGGAAAAACGAACCGAGATTGTTGGACACAGTCAACTAAGTCAAAGTATCTGTGCAACATGGTTGCCTACCGTTGATACGAGGTAAAGCAACCGGTTTCCTTATGATAATGTCCGTGGTAAAGGTCGAGATTGGAAGTTTATCGTGCGCCGATTAATTTTGACGTCCTGATTCAACAACAAATACTGCAACGTCTTAAGCGAGGGTAAAACCATCAGAATGGACAGCAGTTCTCTGATCAAGGCAAAGCTTTCTTAGTCTCATTCGGGACGAAAGCGGCTGCGGTAGCCACAAGGCGGTAGGAACCAACTAAAGGATTTTATGTAGCAACAACTGGTCCCATCTTCACAATGTGGTCCACTAGAACAATTGCGAGTTTCTCATAATCATCCCGCTTTCAGCTGGTTTTGGGTGTGTCCCGAAACAAACTCTTGGAAGCAAAATGGCCACAGCGGATGTGAACACATAGCTACTTCAACAAATCGGAGGTCTTCCCGTAATTTCTGGCCTATCCCAAATAGTCTGATCGTTACAGCTCCCGTGTGCCGCTTATAAAATCCAGGGCAATCATCTCAAAGTTCACTACGCCGTTTGTTTTCTCGTGCGATTTTCGATACGGAGACAAACAAGCACACAGCTGAAAAAAGGAGGCCGCGGCACAACCTGAATTGGCATTGGACTGCATATGAGCCTTGATACTGTTTCCAAAGGTTTCGAATGCAAAAGACCATCTACACATGTCTGTGTGTAAGCTTACCAATTAATTGGTAGTTCAGTCTTCCTTCAAGCACACTTATTGGACAGACATGATTGTCTGAGTGTACCGACGAGTGCTTAGACCCTGGAAGTTGTAAGCGCTGGTCGACCAGAATTGATCGCCATTACACATGCTACCACTTGTCATGTGTGTGTGTGTGTGCGTGTACCCGGAGTGCCAGGGCCGCACTGAAGGGAAATGACGAACAAGCGTAGTTTATGCTGAAACAGACAGACTTATCGGACACGCCATTAACACCAGGGGACAACCGGGGTAAACTTGGTGAAATATGATTAATGCACCATCGGTTTGGTCACCCATTCAGTCAAGACCAGTTTCTTTTAGCCTCTGTGTACGTCACATCACAAAATGCATCTGAGTCCTGAATGGTTGCACGATTGCTGAACTAAGTGAACTTTGTCTTGGCGAAAAGAAAGAGAGGTCGAAATACTGTTCATTGTTATTTGTAATGACCGGTTTAGTTACAGAAAACAGTTCAAAATGTGGAAACATAACCAAAGACAACCAGCCCCCAAAACAGAATAAATACCCTTTGAAAGACCTGTTCTCAAGATTGTGAGGGATTCTTGAGGTAAAGCTTTCTCCCTGAAATGATCAGGAGACCGCCTCAGCATCCAATTTGCTGTATTTTTGGACGGACTTCTGATACGGCCAATCAAATTAATTTTTTTATCAGTAGTGATTTTAAGCTTGCAAAAATTTCATGTTCGTTTCCAGGCCCTTTCCTGACTGTGCCATTGAATGGGCATCAGGTCACCAAGCAAGCCATTCTTCCAAACTTCCTTTCAAAGAGACCAACGAACCTTTATGATTCCGTGGATAGCGCTTGCCGGCTCCAAAATAGTGGGAGAGTTCACATTTTGTGCGACCTCCCTCCACGAGAGGCAAAGTTAAATATTCCGAATAGTTTGTCACCGATCTAGGTCACAATAGAATATCGTTGGGAGAACAGACTTTCATGCAGAATCAGATTATGAACCAGACCTTTTTTATAACAGTTCGGGCAATATGTAACCTGTAGTAACTATTTCGAGATGAATCGAGCTGTCCTCCTAAGTAGAGCTACTACTCAACCTGCAGAGTAGCCTCAATATTTCTGTACACGGGTGTGAGGCTTTGATTTACGTGCTTGAGTTGGAAGCAAAGCTTGCTTGATCGATAGTTTTCTTTTCAAGTAAGCTATATTTAACCTAGAGAACCGACCCTATTTGCAGTGAAAGTTTTTTATCCGAGCGTTAGGACTGTGTGATGTACTCCCCACAGGAGTCATTACCGAGACAAGCCAGAAAACAGTTCTCATCGATTGCCAGACGGCCCACAAACCAGATCCGAGTGACTCGTTTGCCACGCTGCTACGTCACCCAAACTCGGTGTGTCTAACAATCAATTGGGCATTATGGATCAGGCCCCAGTAACCAATCCTGTATTGGAAAAAATTTACGTCACAAGATTACGCTACCGTGGCATTGAACAAATGAGTTTTACTGGTCATCTGACTACGCTAAATGATCATTGTATACAGAGTTCGGAAAAGCCAATCCTGCTTCGTGTACACGTTCCAACTTCAATCCGAATCTGTGCACACAAATACGCAACCGAACTTAATACAAAATCTTATGTACTTGCTGTTTACTGCACAACACCGTTATCCGGCTAAGATAGACCCTCTAAAATCGTGAAGCCACAAGCCGATTTCACCTAGATTGTCAGCCTTTATTTACGTAAATACAGGTTGACTGTGGAAGACCAAGCTACAGTGCCGCCTTCAGCATCTCGGTTATCATTGCTACGATCAACTGAAGCGTTGCGATAGCGTAGCGGTTGATGAGATAATTCGAAGTGCATGCTTTTCACCATAAGCAATTTCTCCCTATAGTATATCGGTCAGACCCATCTTTTGCATGAACTGAACCACTGTATTTGGCAGTGTTGTTAGGGAAGCTTCAGCGAGATAGTGTTCTCAGTGCTTTTCAATGAGATACGGTTAGTGTTCTTCAGATCTACTCGATCTACCGTCTGTGAATCCAATGGTCAGCTCATATCAGGGAAAAATATACGCGCCCGAGGGCGAATTCTAAGCATTCGAAATTACAGAGGGGTCAAGAATCGTATGTGAAACTTCAGAACACATAGACAGGCGTTAATACATTGAGGATGATTTCATTAACCAAGTAAACAGCCTTATCTGTGGGCACTTGATCACCAAGATACCATCAACGATATATTGAGCTACATAAGACAGAATTAGGAGTGGCCAACAGTGTGAGTGTGTGAGAGATAGAAATGTCAGACAAAGCGGACCAAACTGGGTGTCCAGTAGTCGGAAGAAATGATTGAAAATTCCAGGCAATTGTGTTCGTTAATCATAAACTGAGAGAAAGATATTCCTTGAAACTTCACGTCATCTTGAGATGGGCCTCAGTGACTTTGTAATAATTTAGCAGGCTTTTTCAAGGGGGCTGCTGAATAACTGGTTCAAACTTTGTGGTTCGTTTATTGGACTGCGGTGCTCCCTCCAAGGTAACGATCAAAACACTTCACTGATCCTAAAATCATGTACCCTTCAAGAAGCGGTTGTGTCTCATTTCGTAACGATGACACCTTTTCTTGTCCCCCTTCTAACAAGCTGCTAGTCCACTATAAAGCGACTGAATCCCGCCGCGGTGTGACGGTTTGTGCACCTTCATAACCCAATTAAGTATAATGGGGAGTGCACGTGACACTCACAGAGCCTCTCATTCCATATTGGTCAATGCGTGGAGGTCTGAATAAAACAGTCTCCTGGCCCTGCACTTGCTTGCCATGTCTATCACATTCCGAGTATTGGCTCGAGCAGGACTAATGAAATCCAACTATTGTATGGACCTGCTTTATTCGAAACACGGTGATCCCCGATTGAACGAAGCAGTGAGAACAGAACTGTTGAAAGAGAAGTCAGTTGATAACACCTTGGGTGCTGTAATACATGTAAAGCGGAAGTAGACCGTAACTGCGGTTTACTGAGGGGAACCTGCACCTCTCACACAATATAGGAGCTTTAGCAAACAACCAACAAAGGTTTGCCGATCCTTCGTTTCAGTTAAAACCCAAACTAGACGTGTTTCAAATAAGCATCAGAACCGGCTACCTGCATCTTTCTAGTGACGTGTTCAGCCCTAGTTGAGGTGAGCTGACATCAGAAAGTAGCTGCCAGCAAGACTGAATTCTCCGAACAGCCAATTCCATCACATCCAACTCAGATTCATGATTCCCAGTTCAGCTACACGGATGTTTCAGGGTGATGACTATTGTGGATGTCGCGCTGTCAAGGTTAACAAACCAGCAGCATGTGCATGGCGCTTTACAAGCGTCTGGAGTGGTGCAAACAAAACGCCAAATATGTGACTTAGCAGACTGATGTGAGGGCAACTCGGCTCCGGTACTACGGGCTGAACTTGGTTGAACATGTTGTGAGGTAGTAGAGTGAAACTTGTTAACGAGATTCAGTTAGGTGGTGATATTTAGGTAGGATGTGAGGTCGTAGGAACAAATGAAATCTACGAAGACGTGTAGAAGGACTGGGTACAGGAAGTAAACTATAAAAAACCAAAAGGAGCAGGCGCTACCAATGGAACGTGTCAAGAATGTCGATACAACCCGGCACGGCGCTTCTGTTATCATATTATTAAAGTTCTATGACTGATTTCGAGTGGAAATTGTAATTGGTGCATAACTATTGTAGTCACGAGGATGTCTGGAGGTCATCTTATTAACCAACTCAACAAAAGCGGTCAGCAGGATGCGCATGGTTTTGCTGTGTTTACATCGATCAGGTTGACCCTAATTCAATCAGTGTTGGGAACACCAGTTATACACTCCGGGGCGAATAACGACCGTAAGCGATCGGCAACATAGTGTGTATTTATTTTAACAGGGTGAGCATAAAACTGTGTCTGTGTACGACAATGTCATGATGCATTATCGTTCAAGTCAAGAAAGGAGTGAATGAGAAAACTAGAGAAACACAAAGTCTTCCCAGCCAAGCACCTTTGGGAAAAGAATGATCATTATTATAGAGAAGATACAAATGAACGCAGGTACGCTACCAGCAGCAGTGGCAGAAACATCAACATAACAGTAGTACCGCCGCCATGGTACGCATCCGTTCCGGGCGGGACGGGGGGAGTGAAACTATCAAACTCAGAAGAAAAAAGAAAAATAGCATTGTCGTTGTTTCAAACTTTACAGATGAGTTGCACGGGGCAACGGAGTTGGCAGAAGAAGTCGCATCGCGAAGGGTCACCACCGGTAGAAAAAATAATAATCCATTAATCAAAAGTCACGTTTGAAACAGTAGAGAGGACAATATCAGCTGTGGTTTAAAACCGTTCCAAATTTAGCGTCAACAAGCTCAGTGTAGCCACAGCTGGAAAAAGAAATTGGGTCCTTGGTTTAGCATCTCGGAGGACTCGCTATGATACCCGATGGTCATTGGTGACAGATTTGGAAAATGTCTATTCGTAGTTATAGAAAAATCACTCTCGTGGTGGTTTTGGAGCAACCGCTGGACGAGGGAACAGACGAGGTGGAGTATCAGAGCTAGGAGAAGAGGCCTCGAATGCGGCAACTCGATCCGCGATCGATATCCGTTTAGGCTCCTCCTCCAAAGGACGGGCGGCTGGGGATAGACAACGGGAATCCGGATTGAGGGAAACAGAAGGTTTTTTGCCGACGGAACCAGAACCAGAAGCAGTCCCTGAACCGGGGAAGTCTTGACGCTGTTCTGGACGCTTTCGCATTGTATCCACACCTTGCTCTGCAAAATGATCAGCTGAACTGCTATCGAGATTAGGGGGTAGTGTGGTCTGGGCCGATTCTGTGCGACGCAACACATTGAGATCGTTTGTCAAGGGAAGATCCATAACCAAGTCCGGAGTGTGCTTTGGACAGGGTAGCTGAAACTTCCGACTGAGTTCTCGTGTACGCTGCATAGTGCGTAAGTTACTACCTTCTGTATCGGCTCGTTCAAGTGAGTTGAGATTTCTCATGAACTGAATAAAAAATGCGACGCAGATATCAGAGGAGCAAGCCTATCGGCAAGACTATAATGCGAAACTAAAGTACGGCAAGACATTACATAATTACGCGCACTTGGAAACTAGGCTGGTCTTAATGAAAAACTGAATCCCTCGTTTATGACACTCCTCAGCTTAATTCGCAAACAAATGGGTTTCACCAACTGTGCAAAATTTAATGTTCAAGCAGAACATAAGGTTAACTGATACTTGGGGATAGCGTCTACCTGATCAGTCTTAAAAAGGGTGAGACCGGTCGTGGGATGTCGAAGAGTTATCAGCGTGCCGCCAAAAAGTGCGTGGTTTTTTGTTGGAGATCAGAAGCAAATCGGTCAGTGTGAAGAACTGGTAGATACCAAAAGCACCTGACAAGTAAAGCGATGTCAAGTACACGGGCATGAAGTCATAAAAGAGGTTCCGCTGTAGCGGTCCGTCCTGAGAGTGAACACAAGCAGAACCGAAGTATGCTGTTTGCTTCTCAGGTGGATTTACTGTATGTAAAGGATGTAGCTGTCTAGCCAGTTGCTGAAAACAAAACACTGGGATTCTGAGGGTCACAAAGCTAGAGGACACTGATTGATTGAGGATAAATAGTTTATTACCTGAAAGTGGCCAGAATGATGTAAACCCTCTGGATTAGACCGAAACAAGGAAGAGTGGAATCTGTGAGTGGCCAAAATAAACGAAGACAACTGATTCTAATACTCCGGCTGAGATGCCTGTCGTCCGTTGTTTGTGTAATGCGTGACGGCGATGAGCATGTGAAACAAATGAGTATAGTATCTTGACTTATCAGTTTACTCATTAGTAAAGGATTCCAGGATCAGAGATATCACCTGTTGACCTGAGAGCCACCGACGTTCAGCCTGAGTTCGCCACTGAGCAAGTGATAGGCTTAGTATCACGAAGGTGAAATGGTTAGAATCTGACTGATCACAACATCATTTAGAAGGCTGGAGTGACGTAGGACCAAGTGTAAACGTGCTTTATAAAATCGGGGCGACGTAAGGAATCTTGCATATCTAACACAGGTCCAGAGACCCACGCAATTTGAACAGAATGCGACACCCGATACTACGTGGAACTAATGACTCAAGTTAGTTCACAACTTTCAACTAATTGGAAGTTACAAAATGCTCAGCAGTTAGCCTGCTGACATAACAAGGCCATAGGTCTACGGCAATCCACAACGTAGTCGTCGATGGATGTTCGGACAACAAAGGGCCAGAAGACAGAATCGTGAAGTTCGAATTCGGTCCCTGACTTTTCAGTTTCTCCCGCCTATGGCTGACTGCATATAGGGAAGTTCTACACTAAGATTACTCCACAAGTGGGATGTTGGGTACCCTGAGGATTAACAAATGACTCAAAAAGCCGGGGATTTAGTTGTTGGCTTGTTGATCGGAATTCATAATTGAGCTATACACCTTCCGTCAGCGTTCGAGCGGATATGGTCAGGGTGCCTGAGATCTCGGTTGTAGAAAGCAGTGTATAATGAACATCAAACTCCTGTGGGACCCATGACCCCTGGAGATCTCGACATCCAGTGGAATCATCTTCTCAGAGACACGCCGAAGGATTACCTGATTTTTTCACACTTCTTCCGTTATACACTCACCGAACCTGAATGTTTCCGTCTCATGTTTCAGTTGGTGCACTATCCGAATATGGGTGGGGCTTGGTACAGCACACAAGTTGAAGAACACAAACGAGAGATTCGGCCGGGATTCAGCTGAGTCTTTTGTTGGCGCTGTTAGGCGAAAGTCCACACTGATCCTGCTTTACCGCTCGCAGTTAGGCCTTGATACGGCCGATATGTGCACCCCGCACAAGATTGGCCAAAAGTTCCGATCCGGCATCAAGCCGAGATCTGATTGGTCGAAAGTTTGGACCTAGCAGCCAACAATGATCCAGTGTTGGCCGAATGCCGGTTCCCAATGTTGCATCCAGAAGGCGTCAGAACTTCCACTGGTTGAGCTTAAATTTGATTACAGGTTCGCACAAAAGGTCAAACAACTGCGATTGTTGCTGTGATCTCCCTTTGAAGGAGTAACTCCACTCGCTTTTCAGTGGTTTGGCGACCTCCTCATACTGCCTTCAAATTTTTTTTATTGCTTTCCATCAGTCTCAGTAGAGAGCAAGGGGGCTAATTTCAAATAAATAACTCACCTCAGCCAGTTGGTTGTCAATGTCAGCATGTGACAGAAAACGTGCCTGTGCTTCGTTTTCTGCTGATGTTACGTTCGACGAGGTATGCCTGCAAACTGGAGAGGCCCTAAAAGTGACCTGATTGGTTACGGCTTCGTCTTCTGGTAGTGTGCTCAATTGAGCAGAAAGAGAGCAACTGACAGTATGACGTAATGCGCTTGAGTGTTGGAGGCTGGGGACGGACTCCGTCCGGCGCTGGTTTACATCAGCGGTTATTGGAGAACTGGATGGAAACAAGCCCGTGACTGGGATACTCTGAGAACGTCCTGAACCTGGCACTGGCATGGATGGAGCTGGTTAAGAAGAAACAGAAATGTCGTTGCATCAAAAGGTGAATGGCATCTGGCGGATGTTACATAAGTGAAATGTTCCGAAACCACCCTTAGATATGGTCAAATATAAACTTATGACACGAAAACATGGTTCTTTGCATCCTTCAACATGTAAACAGGTTTACATGAAACTTGAACACTCAAAATCCAGAAACAAAAGCACTATCTTGAAGATCTACTTGCGATCTGGAGTAATATTTTCACAATAGGTTTTACTCAAACAGCCTATGTTGATGGAATCCTGTTTGCCAATTATCGGTATTTTTTTCAAACCCACCGAGGACAAAAGCGGATATAATAGGAAAATGGTCCATAAACTGGAGAGAGGGCGACAGAGGAGCACATTCACAAACACTAATCGCATTCGAAATAACTGGTTTCGCATAACAAACATACTACGCCCTACATATCCCGTCAGTCACCAGTACACCAACCTCGCCTTTGGCCACCCGAGACCTTTTACAAACGGTCGTATTGTAACCCTCGTTGTACCGTGACCCCATCAGTATCCGTCACACAAATCCTGCTCATAGCGTCACAGGCCGTATGAGTCAGTGCGCGTGCCACACCAACAAGGCATGTTCCATTGATCGAATTTGTGCATTTAATCTGCCATCGTCAAGTCACCGCCGTTGCGGTTTCGGTTGGCGACACCAACTGGACTTAGCTGACCACACCCGTTTAGACCTGGTTTGACTGGAGCTAGTTTTAACATTGCGCGCTGAAGGTGGCGTTGGGCGAAGTGACAGTACGTTCTATATTGCAGGAGGAAAAGAGATGTACAAGCAGACCACAATCGGCACTACGTGCTATTCAAGCAAGACTGTTGAAAAAATAATCGTCCAGCTGTAGCACTCTTTCGGTGTCTAGTTGCCAAGCCACACGAAGGGGGCACGAGGGCTGGGATATTGCCAGGTCGCCCAAGCCTAGACAGGGAAAGTCGAGTGACAGAGGTCGGGTTCGAACCATGGACCTTCCGGTCAGTAAATTCGCGCTCTAACCACTTGGTCCATCTCGCCCCCAAGACTGATTATTATTGATCAAAGCAATGCTAAAGGCCGCATGCGTGACGGGTCAACAAAAACCTTGAACGCAGGAACAACAAGAGAGGAGGCGGTAACTGAAGTCAAAATGTAGGTCACCTTCCACATCAGCGTAAGCCTGAAACAATGTCCAGTTGCACAGCCTCGCAGATATTCGACTTAAGTTTACGTCTTTTCCCGAACAAAGCATAGGCGTGACTGATGGTATGCTGGAAAATGCGACGGCCCACGGAGCAGTCGAAATAATATAACGGAACCTTCACATCCCGTCGAGGTTGACACCAATTACCCTTACTTTTTTCCGGAAAGACAGGGATGACGTCATAACAAGGGGGGATTGTATTCAGCTTGATCGTATGCACATCAGTATAGGCCTAAATGTACGGTGCACTGGGTACCTCAGACGGAAACAGATGAATAGGTCAGAGAGGCTAATCCAAACAGAATCCGAAAACCTGTTTTTCACCCAACTGCATTGAAGGGCGAACAGAGACAAGTGAACCGAAACGAGGATTTCGTTCATGTGCAACCTACATTCAGGTCCAAGAGGTGGTCCTAATGTGGCATTCGTGACGCTGGTTATCTCGATGAGAGAAGTAAACAACAATGAAGAAAGTAACATCAGCGGATATGGAAAACGGAATGAGACAGGTATGCCCAGAGAATTTCACATATCACTTGATCTGACAGATTTACGTTGGAATCCAGGGGTCCCAGAGGTAGTAAGAGGATAGTAACTAAAAACCGGTAATGTGAACAATACTGGATGTTGAGATAAAATAACCAGGTGGTAAAAACAGTAGCTGTGCGTACATTCGACGGATCCTTGGCAAGATTGAGGTTGTACCGGGACAGTGACAGATGTATGTGGCTCCGTCATATTCTCATAAACGGATGTGTTCATCACGTTCTTTTGATCAACTGCTTCTCCAGCAGTATTGTGTTTACTGGCGACTTCAGTACCTATATTACCATAGTTTATCTCCGAGGCTTTCATGGGAAGATCCTGCTGTGACTGCTGTTTCTCCTCAGCATTCGTCGACCCTTCCCGGATATCCAAAAGATCCGCGGACTCATCAGATGCGTCCATAGATTCGCCCTTCTCTTCCATTTGACTTTCATTGAGTTGGCCTTCGTCGGAAGCTGCAGATAAGCACGCCAGCGCAGTTTTCGGAACCACATAGAGATGTGGTACAAGACCACGGGTTCCAGTCAAGTCAGTCACCAGTTGTCCGTCCCACCAATGTTTGTTGAGGCGACGATATAACACTATCTCGTCACCCTGTTGGAAAGACAGTTCACGTGGTGTAGTCCCCACGAAGTCGGCCTGAGCAACTGCCAAAGTATACGGAGCCTCCGAAGCTGTAAACATTAAGAAAGGTTGTAAAGTTTTTTAAACAAATTTTGTTACAGTTGCAATGGATTACCTATTCTTAATGCTTAACAGGGAGCTGACTTGGACTGCCTGCTTCGGTCTACTTGTGGTGAATTTATCTGATGTGGAAGCTTTATGGATGAACTAAATTGCAATAGAGTGTAGATCCAGAGAAGGATATAAAGATCGGGTTTTGTGTGTTAGTCTGGATCGTACAATTTCAGAGTAACGATATATTATCTTGGGTAACTAGCACCCGGAGGACGTACAAAAGAGGAAAAATCACAACCCAGACAGAAGGACATGCAAGTCAACTGAGGTTCCACACACGGAGAGGTTGCAAGTTCGAATCCCTAGCTGGGTCTTCGAATAGTGTGTCCGTGATGATATCCAACATGAACCAATTGACAACTCGGTACAAGTTTGGACTTCATCCGACCAAATTATTGATTCGCTGTCCATAAAAGCGAGTTACATAGTTCAGCAACCATAAAATGTTGTCCACTCTAAAGGAGATGTAACGAAAACAATCATAAGGCTCCACACGTGAGCACTATAACTCGATAAGTATAATCGGCGTACCTTCGCTGTCAGAAATCGAACGCAATTCGTCAGCAGAGAGGGATTCTTCTTCCCGTTCCGTCCTGCGATCCAGTTCATCCATAGAGGAAGCATGACCTACGGAGAGGTCAGCACCTGGTAAATCGCTAGAAGGGAGACGAAAACAAGCGGATTGGGTGTGTGAATTGACGTGAAACACATTATTCAAATGTGACCCAAAAAGCACTAAGTTGACCGTACAAAACATTTTACCAGAAAAAAATTGCACCTATAGCTGGGAAGCTAAGTTTCATGTTTCCGTGAAAACTCAATCATATGGAGTATATGATTATTTCGCCGAGGGCCAAATTTGCACCACTAAACATGTACTTTTAATTTGCAGGCTTTCGGGAATATAAGAAAGAGTCCACACCCTGCTTCAAGCAAGTCTCCAAGTCCGTGTCGCACCACTGATGATGCCAACCGAACAGAGGCCATTGGCGGAGATGGTTTCAAAGACATTCGTCAGCACGAAATTACATTGCAGTCGACTACATTTGACATCAGTGTATACATTCGACGTTTGACGTATCGGCTGTTCTGCTTCGTCACAATGGTCGTCGGTTGCCAAAACCTGACTACTTGTTTGTTGAGTCGAATATTTCAACAAGGCTATTGCGCTGGGATGACTAGATTTAGCAGAAGAATGCCACCAATGCAGAGGAAGACATTTCATCTGTTCAACTGTATTCAATCCTGAAAACACTTACACCTGGTTTGGAAGGAGTCTGTTATAAACGTTCTGCCCACATTCCGGAGGACATGATAACGACAGATGATAAACACATTTCCGGCAAATGGCTAGTGCTGGTGTAACGGTGATACTACTGATAGGGAGGCATGCGAGTAGTATGTTTTCTTCTTGTAAATTCGATTTGCGTCTCTTGAAAAGGGAGATCTGTTGCGGAATTTGTGGAGTCGCTTTGTACCATTTGCTTGGATTTGAGCGACAGTCAATGAATATCCGGGAAATTTCAGGAGGACGCCTTTAGGAGATGGATGTCCAGTTGTTGCAAATAAGATGCAAATGAGAATTTGGCTTCCCTGTCCAATAGTCTGTAACTGGTCAGTTGGCATTTTCTAATAAATAACTCCGCTGCGAAGGCCTTCTTCCTTTCACTGGTACACTAAAACCATCATGGCGACCTCATACAAGGCTGGGAAATACCCAAACTGTCAGGCGGAATTCCACACCAATCCTGCTTTACCACTCGCAGTTAGGTGCTGCTACGGCCAAGAAACTTATCCCGCGCAGGATTAGCCAAAGGTCGAAAGTCTGGACCCAACAGCCAATTATTGGCCGAATGTCAGCTCATCCAGAGTGCGTCAAAATTTCCAGAAAGTTTTCGCCGATGATACTAAATACATACAGCGCAGTATGGGTGTTCTTGACTAGATTTTGGGTGTTCATATACCTTGTGCACCTTGGTGGCTGTTTTGACGTGAACGCTAGTTTGGGAGGCTCAGACTGAGGACTAAGCGGAGGAAAAGACCGTTACTACACAAACGCCATTCACTTGCAAGCACTAACACAGAAGCAATCTCAGAAGCCTATCCAGAGAAAAGCTTTTCCAACTCAGGCCCAATCACTAGTGGTAATAATTATAATGATTAATAACAAGATTCCAAAACGAATGCAGGATATATGCTGTCCACTGGGGACCCTACTAATAACCGAAAAGCAAAAAAGCAGCAAATAAATAGTTCATCAGTAGATGGAAAATGACTGAATTGCGTGCGCGGTTGATATGCAACCACGTGACCTGTCGATGTGAGATGAGGCGGATCAATCATGCACGTGGTACAGTGGCCTAAAAGAGACGAGCCTTGAAGTATCAGTGGATCTATTCGGTCAGAATACACTATTGGGTTGCTATAACTTAAAAGAATGGAGGAACTCAGAGGAAATCAAGCGATAAGGAGTGGGGTCTTCGCAAAAGCGTGGTGCTAACTATAGACTGGCAAGCAGAATCATGGCTCCGAACCAATGGTATGATGACGTTTGACCTTAGCATAAATAAACAAAGTTCATACTATACTGAATTAAAAAAACGTCCTTCAGGTGAACACCCTTTCTGTGCCTAGATGCCATGCCACGTGAAGGGAGAACAGGGGCTGAGATACTGCCAGGTCACCCAAACCTAGACAGGGTGAGTTGCGAGGCAGTCAAACCGAGACAAATTCCAAAGTAGAATGACCCATGTCAAATAATCTTGTATAAAAAAAAGAGAAATCATTCGCATAAATGTCGACTAGCACACAGAGATTTCAAATGTATTTAGGTGACTCCATTTATGGCTCCAAAACTGACTGAAAGTGGACAATCAAAAACTTCAATGCCCGCGAAAACCATTGAACACATACTCCAGATGATGAAAACACTTTACATCGTTCCTCACAAATCCTTCCAGGATAGGAGACCGGTGTTTGAACAGAAGGTCGGAAAACGGATTGTTTAGAAAATCGATTAAAATCTAGACCATGTTTGTCTTACCCGTTACTGGAAGACTTGGTATCCTCACTCAAGTTGGAACCACGTACATCTGTCGGGCTTTGTGCATGTGCGGACAAGTTACGACGAAGAGCTGTCTGTGCGACCTCAGACGCGACTGATTGGACGTACGTCAATGGGAGATCCTCGCTGCGATTTGGGTCCGTGCCAGGTGTGCACATTTTAGAGGAAGACATTTGGGAATTTGCCGGTAACACGTGTTTCATATAGACTGGACCAGGAACCAGAGGATCAAATATCATCGCGTGATGGGTGATGAAGGTTTTGATTAGTTCGATTACGCTGGTCTGTTGATGGACCTGGAGTAACTCGGTTGGGATAGGCATCAGTGTGGGTCCGAAACAGACCGCCAGATTATACGCATCCATGGAATTTTCATCTGAATGCTCAGAAACGCTTTGAGGAGAAAGAAAATTAGGGGACAAGCCTGAGAGTAACCGACTGTGTGTTCATCCGGACTAGGAGCTAATCTAGTTTTTAAGAGTTTAGTGAAAAATATGGCTGCTACTGAGCCAGAGGTCCCCTATCGGGAAGCAAAAACAATGTGTCTTGTCAGTCGTTGCTTAGTGTAAAACATTTTAAAGAGTAGCTATTCCCAGGAAAGACGAAAGATTCCTTTCACTGTAAGGTCTCCTCTACCACACGGACTTCGAAAAATATGAAGTAACATTGAAAACAACTAAATTTAAAACTGTTGTGTTTGGTCTTAATCTTTTTTTTCGTTTTTTCCTGTTTCGTTAAGTCACTTGCTCATATCGCACTTAAGTGAACAGACACTGATGGAAGTGAAACTTCCTTCCGACAAGGCACAGAAAAAGTCCTGAAATACTGTCAGATGAGAGCTGCAGAGAAAAAAGTAGACGGCAGTCTTCCATGTGTAAATACAACAATCACGAATAACGCAACACAGAAAACGAAAAAGAACTCCACCAGAAAAACACATAATCAAAGCAACTGCACAAGAGTTGAAGGCGGTATGGTAACGTGAAACAAACAATCGGGTGAGACTTGCCAGGGAAGACGCATAAAAGACGGGGCGACAAAGTTTTTCCGATGGGGTTTTCCTACAGCGAAATTATTCGCCTTTGGTTTTGTAAAAATTAACAGAGTTGCTTAGAATAAAACATGTAAAATGGTTGACTTACTGTTTGAGGAAAGCAAAAAGGAAACGCATGACGATAAACACCGGGCGACTCAGACCTTGGATAACCACTTGGCGCAGACGACGGGCAGTTTCATCCATATCGGATTCTGATCGTAGACAAGGATTAAGAAGGCAAACTTGAGAGGATAAGAAAGCTGATAAGCGAGTGCAATGTTGCGCAAAATGAACGTACTTTATGTATAGCCTACGAGTATCAGTCAGATAGGATGGTTTCCACTGTTGAGAGGCCTACACACAGCCATAGCGCAACCGGGATCAGGAAGCTGTCACTCCCTACATCACACTGAGATGTTCGAAGAAAATAGAAACAGATTCAGCTCGAAATCCATGGAGCTTGTACTGCCTTCTTCTGCGATGATGGTGCAACACCCATCATTGGCAGGGTTCAGGAACAAAACTCTACAAAATTGCACTATCCTGTGGGTGAGTCAAAGGCTCAAGGATGAATACCTCAGGAAGGCTCCTTTCTTTGGCCTTGTCAAACGGGAAGAGACATCCGCCCATACAGCAGGGGATCAAGCGACTGTACCTTTCACCCATCTGTTCCTAGAGCGATCATTTTGGTGCCTAACTTTACCAATTCCGTAACAACCACTAGCTCTCTATCCAACAAAATGATAAGTAAAGATCCGCTACCAACTCCAGGAAATCTCTCTCATGTATGAGTATTCGACACCCGCACTTTCTTCCTACTGTTTATACATTTTTCTTCCTGAATACGGACGTATGCTGCCTCCGGGGAACCTACAAATGGCTTCACTTCAACACAGCTAGAGCCAAGGATTTACTCTAAGGGCTTCTGGCCAACCGGTAACAAAGTCCTACGACCTCAGTTTAGAGAGGTTAAACTTTTTGCTTCAATGAATTTCCCTAAACAATCGGCCAGACGCAGTCAAACCAGGTCTGTCAGAATCGGTAACCACATACCAAATACGAGGCAATTATTCATTGCCTGCGTACGTCAAAATGAAATGCGTTAATGGGATGCTCAAATGTTGACTTTAATGAAAGCATTCAAGACTGCTTCAGATGGCAAAGTACAACGACACCTCGATCCTGACTGGCGATATAAACTCGAAAACCATAAGAATTAATGAAGATCAGAACCGCCATCATCATCAGAATCTTCAGTTGTAAAAAGACCGCGTACTTGCTTGATTTTCATCGGGGGGAGCTATGCTTTGAAAGGAATGGAGCCTGGATGCATACGCACTGCCGAACGCCCGACTGAATCAACTGACAAAGTCTCTGACTGTGCATGTGTTGCTGGTAATCGCTACCAAGTCACTACTTAACCTCCCCTGCCTCGTTTCAACCATCCATTGGGCTACGAAAAGAACTCTTTGAGGAAGTCGGTCAGCTAGCATATGGAGCACATGGTCAAGCCAGCGCCAAAAGGTTACATCACGTGTAGGTCCACCAGGGCTCGTGAGAAGCAACAACGAGTTTCATCCAGCTGATGGATGCGTCCGTTACTCTCCAACAACGCTCACACAACAAGACCATACGTACGAAAAGCCAATAATGATCGTTTTCTCATACCTGCACATGTATTCGAATCGGTAGGTTGTAGAAGTTTGCGATGCTACCTTTAGTTTGAGGATATCTCAAGGTCAAACTTCGCAACTTCTCCACAGTCCAACAAACATGAGCATGCGAGGGTTTACGGTGAAAATTTAAATTTCATCATGAATGGCGCTCATCGTTTTTTTTGTTCAACTACATACTCCAGGAAGGTTTTGCAATGTTTACTTCCTCAAACGACAAACAGCACGCGAATCAAGTCGCGCTACTCGGATCGGATCCCACGAAAAGCAAATCATAACGACACACCTGTCGCCACGTGTACATAGATGTATTTGCACTCTCACAGTGCAAAAATACCTTAAAATGTGATCACATATTACACTAATTGACGCATCCGGAGTAGCAGGCGTCATTGGTAAGTTAACCCATTGATTGTCGATCAGGTGGCTGTTGATCTGTTCACCGAGCTTGGTAATTGGTTTGCACACTGATGATGTCTCCTCGTAGGGTGACGAAACGTTTGCAAGCCAACTGCCAAGCTTGGCGGACAGATCAACAGTCACCTGATCAGCAACTACTAAACTCACCCGAGCTACCAATTTTTCAAAACATTACCAAGTTCACTTATCTGGGTAGTTGCGCCACTTCCGGTGGCAGCATTGCTAACGGGATGATCGTTGGGGATTTCAAAGGATTTGAAGAACGGAGTATTCAAAGTTGAAGTACATTTAGCATTGCTTTATGACTGTGGAACTTGGTCAGTGAGCGTTGAAGATAGAAGGCGACGGTTGGCCTTTGACTATCAGCGTCTTCGAGACATTGTACACATGTCGGGGGAACACTTTGTCAACAGTACTGAAGTCGTTGTCGGATGCTTATCTACTTCATCTGATAAGATCGGACAAACTTGGCTGGCTCGGACACATTCTCCGCAAGACAAGTGATCGATTGCCTTGTTGTACCCCGTTTGTTGTAGCCCGCTGTGACTGTGTAGCACGGACAAAGCAAAGTCTCGGGGGCGAAGGATGAAAAGCACAACAACGGAACTTATCCCTGTTGGTGTATGCCCTCCACCGACCTAGTAGACACCTTCAGCGATACAACCGAGTAACGTAGCCAAAAGTGCTGCTGGATCACTTTTCGTACCCACAAATTTTAATCCACTAAAGGCTTCTTTCGTCTTAATTCATGAACTCCAATTACCCCTTAGAGAAATACACTCATTTGCATACGAATTCGGTTCTCATAGGAGGACCAACTGAATCTCTCTGTTGTGATGTTTTTGTTTAACTGAATGTGCTGAACCAGTCTGCTTCATGTTTCAGTTGGTACGATAAGCTAGCAATATTCTGATAAGCTAAATGTCAGTGAGGATGGTTTCACCGATTTGAGTAAGGCAGTACAAACGTTTCTTGTATCAAAGTGGCATCGATCTTTGCAAATTTTGGAGTAGCTTTCACACATGCGGGGGTTTTGTGGCCATATTTAAACTTCTGGTGAAGTCAGTCTATTCTCAGTGGAAGAGAAGCACCATGCGGCTGCTTCATTTTGTTGAGAATCATTGGCAGTGCGCTAATCCTAAGGGATATTCATACCGGCGCGGCTCTACTCCGTACCATTTGACAACAATGTCTGATGAGCAGTGCACACCACTGTACTTGAACAGGATACAGCACCAGCATCCTTCAGTTACACAGTACACCTTAAGTAATCCGGTTTTGACTGGGACACCAACGACTTCTTCAAATCCCCGTGCGACTAGTGGGGTCTTTCCTCTTCTGAGCGAATTACCTATAGTTTGCAAGCACCGAGGAGGCCTTGAAGTTTCAATCATAATTTCATGCTGCCGTTTAGGGACGCCTCTTACTTACCCTATCCGAATGCGAGTTTATCACACGGGTCAGTCGATTGTGGCCAAATTACACAATCGAATGCCGCATGTTCCAAAGCTCTTCGTCATAATTTCATGCTACCGTTTAGGGACGCTCCTTACTTACCCTATCCAAATGCGATTTTATCACACGGGTCAGTCAATTGTGGCCAAATTACACAATCGAATGCCGCATGTTCCAAAGCTCTCCAGTGTCATGAAATGCGTACTTCCCTTGATCCTCAGCCAGGATGAGACGTTGTATAGTGTACACAATTCCAACCGAAACTCCAAACGTTCTGGTTAACACATCGCAGTTGATCACAAGATAGAAGCTGTTGTGCTGAGACTCAAAGCTTGTCGTTTCAAGAACCTACAAACATAACACCGATGTATTCTTCCACAGAGTCGTACGTATTACGCGCCTGGAGAAAGCAGCATGTCGTGCAGCTTGGGACGGTGTCCCAAGGCTGTTTGAGCCAAACGGGTCGTCGGCTCAGATCAGGTTCTCAACCGTACGAGAAATGCGGCGTAGTTTGGTCATTACAACATGATGCACCTGTGTGCCTGTATAAGTGACTTGCAACAACAGTTTCACGAGGTATACGACTGATGTCGTCAATAGTTGTTCCATGGAAGCCTCATCCAAAAAGTCGCCCCTGAACACATGCAATGGCAGAAATGGCATTACTGGTGTCCATATCAATGGCTATCGTCACCGGAATTGAGAAGCTAATCCTGTAGTGCTCTTTAGCATAGATAAACGGGATGCAGTGCTCTCGGGTGTGCAGTTGAAAGACAGCCTTACTCCCACAGTGCGACAATTGACGCTGGATTATTTCATCCTGTTCACGACAGCAAATTATCTTCGATGGACACTCCCTTGAAGGGCGGCACTGTATTTGGTTACACAGATTAGTGTTCAATATTTCTCATCCATTGTTGTGGTAAGACAAAACGGAAAAAACTAGTACGAAGGGTAATAGTGTGTGTATGGCTGTGAGACCTGGTGTGATCGAGCAGCGAAACTGAGACATTTTCAGGTGCTCGGAACTATAGCTCGTGTGAGATGTTCTCGGCGAATCCGTAACCATGCAATCAGAAAACTAGTCTTCCGTTATGCAATGGTAATTCCACTGAAGAATGTGGACAACACCAGAAGCTGAGCTTGTTGGGATGTGTTGTGTATGCCGAACCATCGTTTGCCAAGGAGAGTGCTGTTTCCCATGCCCAACTCAGAGTGGCGGAAGCAGAGAGGTGGCCACCCCTTGACCTGGCGGAGGGGTATGAAGGAGATTACGAAACGCTTGGGTGCTGTCTGTGCTACTCACCTTCCAGGATGGGGACCGCGTGGTCTTCACTGTGCCTAGTTGGAGACACTACAAGATATGGCTGCTAATCGATGTCAGTGGCGTTCTTGTCAGTTTCTATCCAGACTGCCTGAGTGAATGTCTGGATTTGTGGACGCGTCAGACTGAGTTTGGTAGGCTAGCACTAAGTCTCTTCTCCATCCACTTTTATTCTTTTGTTCACCATAAGGCTTTCAAATAAATCATGGTTGTACGTCAATGAAGCATCGGTGTTGAACACTGATCCCGGTGATGATGAAGGTCGGAATCACAGCAATTTATAGAGGAATGTTCAGTCTATGTAATATTAGCTCGGCCACACAAGTCACACTGAAAAGAGTAATCATGATGGACTACAACATACGGAGGACTCAGGGATGACTGTTCAAAAAGACACGTTTTCAGTGTAACCATAGGACAATAATCCAGTACAAGATCTGTCTGGGCTTTCTCATCAGTTTTACAACTACCGTGTTCAATAGATTTGGTGGATACATTTTGTTCTACATTGTACTGGTTTTCTGCCTTTCATAGCGACCTTAAGTGGAAAAGTACAGTTGGACAGCAAGAAGGCACGGTAACCTGGACTATAACGATCCATTAGTGGACCTGTGACGGCGTGAAATAGGATGTATAATTTGGAAAAAATATTTTGTTTGCCGTGACAAGACAGAAGCAAGCACTGAGTGAAACGGTTCATGTGAAGCTCAGAGCAAAGCAGGGACTCAAATTTGCACACGGACATTCAAACCACCGGCATTTGCATACCAGTAGTTCATGGCCCATGTGCATCTTCTAACGAATAGAGTCGTCCTTGGATGTGGACGCAAGCAATTTCCATAAACCTCCCGTAACCACTCACGTGCCACGCATTAAACTAATCCAAGCCCAACAGCTGTCGGTGAATGAGAGACGTTTCGCGACAGACCATGTCACGTGATGACAGACAAGGTAGCAAGGTTATATTTTCGACCGCAAACGAATCCAGTACGATTCGCTGCGATCGAAGTATCCCAGCGTGTTGGACGTAAAAAAAAGATTAAAATATGCCAGATTCTCGAAAAAGTTAGAACTCCAGCACTGGAGACAATTTCGACAGAACAAACACAGGCCTTACAGCTGAGATAAAGCGCGGCAGATTTCTGTCTTTTTTTTATCTTATCTTACTTCCGCGCCTGCTTGCTTGTTGAACAAGTGCATAGTTAAACTGCATCAGGAATCGAAATCGATGTGTAGGTAACATAACTATAACATTGTAACACTAATTTAACTCGAACACGCAAAGTGCGGGGGAAAACGAATACTGGCAAGCAGTCATAGTTTCGAAAATCCAAACCACAGGTAGAACAGTTGTGAAAGTAACGCTCCACTGACAAATGCATCCAGCTGTTGCTTGGGTGTCAGCTTAGCAAATTCCGATTCCAATAACAAGGGAGGGCAACATTTAAGCATACTTACGTTTGTTCGTACACTCAATGAGATTTTTGAAGATGGAATGAGGGAAAGGCGGTTCGCCGAGTTCACGGAAGTACAGTTTCAACAGTCCAGCGGCAGAATTGATGTCTCTGGCTTCACGAGCATCGACCAAAGGATCGAAGCCCTCTTCGAAGGCTGCTTTGAATTCGTTGATCTCCGTTTGGCTTGCAGAAACGCGAAAGATACCCTGCTGGTGCATGCCTGCAAATGGGATGAATGTATTCAAAATTGACTGATTGGTCAGCTGATGCATACGTGTTCTGGCATCAGAAATAAACTCTGTTGTTCATGCACGATCTAGGGTGAAAATGAAGACTGATGAACGGGAACCAGCAGTTCCCGTCTGACTGTAGGTAAAAGGCAATCATCGTTTGTTGTCAGTTGCTTAAGCACATCTAAGGAAAAGGTCAAGATGGTGCGAAGCAGCTACATTCCACATTTTCAGAAATTACGCATCATCATCAACAGCATCGACATCATGACAGTGGTCTTCAATACTGATGCTTCGCTGACGTACAACCAGTATTTGTTTGAAAGCCCTATTGTGAAGAAAAGAATAAAAGTGGATGGAGAAGAGACTTAGTACTAGCCTACCAAAATCCGTCTGACGCGTCCACAAATCCAGAAATTCACTCAGGCAATCTGGATAGAAAGTGAAAACTAGAATGTCATTTACATCGAGTAGCAGTCGTATCTTGCAGCGTCTCCAACCAGGCGCAGTGCAGATCACGTGGTCCTCATCCTGGAAGGCGATTTGCGCCAACAATACCCAAATTTTCCGTAATCTCCGTCACGCTCCTCCATCAGGTCAAAGCTTAGCCTCAATCACTCTGAATTGGGTACGAAAAACAGCATTTTCCTCACGAAACAGTTGTTCGCTATATGCAATACATGGCCTAACAGATGAAGCTTCTGGTGCTGGACATATTCTTCGACTGAAGGTCTAGTTGCACTCGCTTTCTAATTGTATCGCAGCGGATTCGCCGACACCAGCCTACAGGTGCTATGGTTCTGAGACAACACTTGGCGAAGACCTGAATATGTCTCAGCCCCACTGTTCGAACAGGCCAAGTCTCACAGCCATACAGCAAAACAGCTCGTACCCTGATACATACGTCCTTGAGATTCAGGGATATACAACTTTGACGCCATACATGTCTTAAATTAGCAAACAGGACCCGAGCTTTGCAGGTTCGTGCATTAACCTAACTGTCACACTAAAATGTAACTAATACAACTTTCAAGTTGTATTGAACGCTTCCCAACTTCAAGTGCATTTCCTTGGATTGGTAGTGGGGTGTTCAGCGCCTGCAAGTTCAGAAGCAAAATCACACTTTGTGTATACAAAGCGAATACCAAAGGACGCGATGACATTGGTCTGTTCATCCAAAAACATCTGGGCCTTCTTTCCTCTTCGAAGACGAGAACGATATCGTCTTCATATTCCAGATCAACAAAGCAGCCAGTGGAACACAAGGATTTAGAAGATCTTCCACCGTTCGTCTCCTTATCCCATCGACTATGAAATTAAATAGGAATAGAGAGAGTAGGCACCTCTGAGGGACAGCACTTTGTGTACGAAAGATTCTTCCCTTCACGAGTCAGTGTTTCACTAGCCACCATAAAGCGACGAAGAAGTGACGCCAACAGTCTCGTTACGACTGGATTCAATCTGATCCCCCTGTGATTACCGCGCTCACTACGAGCCCCCTTTAAAAAAGGCACTGTCGCCGGTTCTCCCCAGTTGTCAGGATCAGTTTTTCCCCGGATGCAGGCTAATAGATTAGACAATCGCTGATTAAGAACTTCAGCTCTATACTTGAACAATGCGGGTTGGAGGGTATCCGTATGGGGTTTCAAGTCCACCGTTCAGGAGTCTACTTCCGCTGTAAGATCCAAATGAGTGACAGCGGTTGGTTGCGAGATTCGTGGCTCGAGGTACTCCGTCCAGCAGTCAAGGCGTTCTTCACAGAAGATAATCGTGCCACTTTGATCCTCCACTGTTTCGCTCACAAGACATCATAAAACGTATCAGAGGTATGGTCGGTTGGGGCCTAAGCAGATGGGACAAACAGACAGCCATCAACTTCCCGCTAGTGGAAAACGTTCGCGGACATTGCCAGACGAACCGCACATTGACGACTATTAACGGGTATTCAATCTAACAAATATCCTTAGTCTAGTGACTTAAGGCAACACAATGCAGGCTAATAGATCAGACGATCGCTGATTAAGGACTTCACCCCCATAATTGAACAATGCAGGTTGGAGGGTATCCGGATCAGGAGACCGATATACATGTTGCCATAAAACTCTGAAGCCATACGAGGTTCCAAGTCTACCGTTCAGAATTCTACTTCAGCTGTAAGATCCAAATGAGTGACAGCGGTTGGTTGCGAGATTCGTGGCTCGAGGTACTCCGTCCAGCAGTCAAGGCGTTCTTCACAGAAGATAATCGTGCCACTTTGATCCTCCACTGTTTCGCTCACAAGACATCATAAAACGTATCAGAGGTATGGTCGGTTGGGGCCTAAGCAGATGGGACAAACAGACAGCCATCAACTTCCCGCTAGTGGAAAACGTTCGCGGACATTGCCAGACGAACCGCACATTGACGACTATTAACGGGTATTCAATCTAACAAATATCCTTAGTCTAGTGACTTAAGGCAACACAAATCCTTGCATATGCTGCTGCAGCGGACGTGAGCAGCCAGAAGCGAGTGGAGAACGATGGGGCGGTTAGCTAAGCTATTGTGCTTGCATCTTGAGTTCTTGCTTCTCATACGCAACACACATCAGTATGAAGTTATTTAAGTATGAGAGCAAGAGCACCTTGATTGCTTCAGAGGGCGAACATTAAGAGTGGGCAAAGAGACTGAGTGTCGGAGTTTAGAAATTTACATCAGTATGTCCGAGGCTGTCGGCTCCGGCTGAAGCGCAAATATTACAGTAAAAACTGATGTAATACGAACGGGGACACCAGTCCTAACTAATGGGCCTACAGAGAGAGAGCTACTATTGCGGTGGGGGAATAAGTATGTGAAAGAGAATGTAACTAAAATGCAGATTAGAGTTTTGCTTCCCTGTTCAATGGTCTGTAACCGGTCAGTTGGCATTTCCGAGTAGGTAACTCAGCAGCGAAGGCCTTCTTCCTTTCACAACTTTTGAACAGCGAATCGCTACACACGTTCCACCCCCAACTTGGAGAACCAGGAGATTGTGTTGGTCAGACCTCTCACTACCGACCAAGGTGTTATGAGGGACTGCAAGTGTCGCACGAACATACCCCAGTATAGGTCAATGGGTCACGGAGAAACACAAACTGTCACATCACTGTAAGGTCCAGTCTCTTCGTGACAGCAGAAATTAATCATATAAGGCGCATTCAACATACGCGACCACTAATAGCATCCTAACAAAATTGATCCACAAATATTGTAGCAATCCTTCGCTACTGATGTTGGCTGTAATCAAGTTATCTAAGTAGTGCCATTCATGATCGTACAGTGAAATTTGTCCGACGGGCTGGTAATTCACAGGAACACTGAACTGTATCACACTTGATTCCGTAACTTTTTCTTGTTACGAGCGTAAACTAAAGTAAGCGTCTGTTATGTGGCACCTAATTTGCTATCGGCTTAATAGTACATTAAAACTAGACTAATTATACAATATTTTAAAGTAGATCACGCCATGATTTTACATGAAAGTTACTGTTCGGACTTTGTGCAGTGGGTTGGTAACCCATGTATTTATCTACCATAAGGGTTGCGCAAAGGAGCCAGCTCAGTACATTAGTTTGGATGAGGCCACTTTGCAATTATAGATCGTGTGTCTTTCCGGGTAATTCACCAATAAAGTAATGCCTGGTTGGATGCTCACTGATTGGTCCCTACACAATAATCTGACCGCTTTTTTACGATCAACATCGGATTAAATTCGGGTTGATTATCAGGTGCCTTGTACGCGTTCAGCTGTAGCACCCTTCCGGTGCCTAGCTGCCATGCCACCCGAAGGTTGCACGAGGGCTGGGATACTTCCAGGTTGCTCAAGCCTGGACAGGGGAAGTCGAGAGGCGGAAGTCGGATTTCAACCACGGACCTTCCGGTCAGTAAATTCGCGCTCTAACCACTTGGGCCATCTCGCCCCCCAGGTGCCTTGTGAAGATCGATAATACTGAGGGACCACTTAACAAGTGGAAACCGTAAATTCGTACCGGAAAATTGTCACATTCAAATCTATACGTAACAATTCTAGCACAGGAAAGTGTGGTTTGACTGAGGGACAAATAATTACTGCAAACCAAATTCTCGGAACTAACGAAAAAACAAATTGTAGTATGGGAACGCACCGAACTGAACAATTGCCCGAGTGCAAGAGAGCAGAATACATGGGATCGGTTGTTTTGTGGCCTCCACATACTCGTCAATCGTACCACCAAACAGCTTCGGTTTGCCTACATTAGGAACTTGGAGCACACGGCGGGTCTTATGTGGTTTTTGGACCAGAGTAGATTGTGTCACTGGTTCCGGATTGCAGACCTGGACCAGAGACCTATCTTTCAGATTGACCTTGCTCCGCATCAGACGGCACGCTGACTCGGATTGTGGCGCGGGAGGTGGGGGAGGAGGTGACTGTGCAAGGTCAAAAGACACCTCAGATGTCTCATCTGTCTGAGGGCGACCCTTGGAAGCGGGTAGACCAGTGCTTGCTGTCGGAAGAACAGGAACAGCATACCGGTATGGAACGTTGCTGATTGGGCGCATAGTAACGGCGTTCTCTGGAGATGAATGTGAGGCAGGCTGAGTTGCGGCTAAAGCACGGCGGATTTCGGCCAGCCGAACCTGCAAAACTTGACATCGATGTACCTCTTGTGTGTAAAACGCGAAGCGCTAAAGTTGGATGAGAATGGAAGAAAGGTTATAAGTGAAACATGGTTGATCAGCAAAACCAACCTAGAATGTAAGAAACCCTATAGATAAAAGAGACAGACATTCTATTGAATTCTGCATCTGCAAGGCAACAAGAGAGTGTGTGGCTTGTCTTAGCAAAGGACCGAAGGTGAGAAAAACAGGATCGCAAACAGTGTTGTGCTATGCTATATACTTTGATTCGAGCAAGAGTGTAGTTCAAATCGCGAAAGTCTCATGTGAGACTGTTCTTAGTAATGTACGAACAGTCAACAAAAAAACACTCATTGATGAGGAAACACTCGGATGTGAGATGCTGGTGAATGAGCAGAAAATAAAAAACCCGGGAAGTAATGAGCGCTCACCTCCAGATAGAACTTCTCCTGTTCTATGCGAGCTTCGCGATAGGCCGATCGTAATGCCAGATACATACCAGAAGGATTTTCACCGGAAGATTGGGCAGCCGGACTGCTGGGAGTCTGACTACGCCCACCTGAAGACTGATCCTGCAACTTGCCACCTGATATGGGACTGGGACCTCGGGCGGTTACGGGGGAAGAGGAAGTGGAAGAGTTGGAAACGATTGTGCCTAAACTGCTTCCCAGACCACTACTGCCACCTGCAGCACTCGAGCCATTTGTGATTGAGGAGGCACCGACTGATCTTCGTCGACGAGGGTGTTCGGAAACGAATAGCTGAGAAACATCACAGTCCTTCTGGTTGATTAGTTCGAGAAGACTCTTCTCAACCTGGAACATAACGTGCGAAATTACGTCAGTGGCGTCATTAGGAAGAGATTTAGTATGTTACTTTCGTCTGAAAGATGATCGATCAGAATAAATAATGGGGTTTTCTTGCAAGTGATACAACTGGAGTAACAGTAGTCAATGATCATTACACACATACTTCTGAATCGTTATTTTTATGGTTGATAACACGAGATAGCTAAGTACCGTTTCCGGCTGGATGACCAACGAAGAGAAACTTGCCCGATTCGGCATTAACAGCAGCAGGACGAAACACTTTACGTGAAGTAGACACCACACAAATTAGGTACAAAGTTAGTTGAGATAGCGAGAGAACCTTCAGCTGTAGCACTCTTTCGACGCCTAACTGCTATACCACCAGAACGAAGCAAGAGGGCTGGGATACTTACAGGTTACCCAAGCCTAGACACGGGAAGTCGAGAAACAGAGGTCGGGTTCGACCCACTGACCTTCCGGTCGGTAAACTCACGCTCTAACCACAGAGACATCGAACGGAAGCCATAAGGAAATGTCGTAAAGTACGTAAACTGGGTAGGCCACCAAATTCTTTCTAATCGTAGAGTATGGGACGAATGGAAAGAACAAATCTGTGACCAAACACCAAGGGACTTGCAAAAACACAACACAGAAAGCAACATACGATTTCATTCAGCTCGTGAAGATTCCCTAGAGAGAGAATGAGACCAGATTGTGTCCAAAGACTGACTCATTCAGTGAGACCGTCTGCGCATCTTCGACCTAGGGCTGCGGAACGTAGGTTCTTCAAGACTTCATACCATTGATGCATCCTGCAGGTATGGGCGCTTGGCCAAATAACCATTTCCGTAATTGGGAAACGCTACCTACATGTCTAACCCCTACCCTAACTATTTGAACGTCGATAACCTTAACGGTTCGACCGCGCAATCTCAAACCATTCTCAGAGCGACATGACACCTGTCGTAATAGGATGTCTGCACGAGTATGGATGAATGTGACAAAAGGTGTTTGGGCGTTAAGATAGAATAAGATATCCACTTTTGGAAAGAAATTAGTCACGATATGTGTGAACTTGTAGTTTGTTCGCTGTTCATGGGAAGTTGTGGTATGGGTCACCTATGATACCAAATCGCCTAACCACGGATATCCCTCAGCGAGGTAGGTACATACTGACGCACAAGAGTTCCAGAAATGAGCTTTTTAAAAGGTGAGTAACTCGTGTTCAGAGACCTATACAATCGGTGGCATATGTTGAGAATGACCTTGAGGAGAAAGTAGTTCTAGTGGTAACTACCACGGAACTACAGCGTTTCGGAACGACTTTCCGGTTGTGAAGACCATCCTAAGGGTAACGAGTGTTGGTGGATAGTTCGGTCTGGAGACAGGGCCACCTGATTCGGTGGCCAGCATATTTTTAGTTAGCTTCGATGTTGACGCATACAACTACTTACTTTTGTCTAGTCGATTAATATACTAAGCTGGGGCGAGATGGATCAAGTGGTTAGAGCGCGAATTCACTGACCGGAAGGTCCGTGGTTCGAACCCGACCTCTGCTACTCGACTTCCAGGTTTGGGCGATCTGGCAGTATCCCAGCCCTAGTGCCTCCTTCGTGTGGCATGGCAGCTAGACACCGAAAGAGTGCTACAACTGAACGGTATATAATATACTAAGCCGAAAATCTGAGCAGTCAGAGGGGCTGAATTCATGAGTGCAACCTGAGTACAGTAACCTTATCGAATCTAGCCTAACATCAACGAAATTAGACTCGTGCCTTGCTTCCGAGTGCCACCGAAAGGTCACACACACACCTCTCGATTCATTAATTTCGTTCACACTGAATACGATGTGAATATACCCAACCAATGGATTGTCAACTCGCGGCAATTAATTGCCTTTCAAAGCGTCAAATTAGTCCATCACACCAAGTGCGGGCGTTCATTCGACCCCCATTTCGACTGCTGGACTTGAATTTATTAATGTCTGTTCAGTAACTTATGAACATAGGTTGATTACCAAGTTAGCCAGCGCTTTCACGGATTTCTCGGTAGGAATTATCAAAGTGTGATAGGGGGTGCATACCCCACAAACTATTGAGTCAGACTGGAGGGTGTACATGTGACAATTTCAAAGCAATTCACACCAGGTTGGTCAGTGAGTGGAGCTCTGACGCATATGGTCTCCTAGTCCCCCGGGTTGGGGATAGGAACATGTATAGGGAGTTCCTCTTTAAAAATGTGTACTGGTTTGGTGATCTTATGCCAACAACCACTGCCTTGTGATTGGGGCTGAAGCCCCAAGGCCTTTGGTTGTAGTTCCTAATTTTACTCCTGTTTAGGTCTGGATGCCTTGGCAGCATGCCAACCCACGTAAGGGCTGGAGTCGCCTAGCTACACATAGCCTCATTCGACAATGATCGCCACAAGGTGCCATCAGACAGGTCGTCTGATTTGCCGCACACAACACAGCGGGTAAGTGAAAACTGACTGCTTCATGACGCTCCCCTTGGTTCTCTTCAACACATTCGTTCTGGTTCACAATTATTCAGCGTGAAAAATGAACATTAGTTTTGGAGAAACAACTTCAAAATACAATAGCGGATTTGGGCGAAATTGCTTTCGGAGAGCACCAAAGCACGTTGAACATGCTGATGCAGCACGCAGGAAATCAAAAGCGGGTAGACATAAAGTGGATATTTGCAGTGGAGCTGGACGGTTCAAAATGAAGCATATGGGGTCTGGAAGACAGCGACAGTTACGACAAACAATTTCACTCTACCTCTGCTTCTCGACTTCTCCTGTCTAGGCTTGGGCAACCTGGCATCATCCCAACCCTCGTTCCTCCTTCGAGTGGCATGGCAGCTAAGCACCGGAAGGGTGTTACAACTGAACGTATGAAAGCAACCGGCGAATCGGCCCTACGACCAAACGAAACAAACTAAGCTGGAGGGACAAGAATTACGGTTATTGCATACAAATTTTGATTTTTTGGGGGCTGGGAAAGGCAACCGTGTGTGATGAGTTTCATTCATCAATACAGTATTATCAGCAAAGACTCACATGTTCCAGGGTCTTCCATGTTTCTTCCGTAGAGGCCCTAAGTTTATCGATCTCCGCAGACAGCTGGTCCGCCGCTGTTTCCAGTTCTTCACGCAAAACTCCATCGGCTCGAATTTGAGATTCCTATCAACAGGAGAGGTTTATGCGTATGCCGCAAGAAGGTAACAGCACGTAACCGATTAGCAATGCGGACAAAAGATTAAAGTTCAACAGCAGGCAATTCAGAGATATTTGGCTCTCCAAATGTGAAATTCTGGTCACTGTGCAGCCCATATGAACCATTGAACTTAAGGAAGGAAAATCAGGCGCGCAGTTCAGTGTGTCACGCAGAAAAGGTTTTTCAAGAACGGGCTTCCAACAACCACGGTTTCGCTCAGTTTTATGAGACACAAATTTACCAATTTACCAAAGTGGGACACGGTATTGAAGTTAAGGGTCCTAATTTTTCGTTCAAACGGTAGATAAGGATCAGTGCGCATTCAGAGCGGTGTTTCAAATGCAACGATGCTATTCATTTCTTAAATGTGAGCAACACTGTCTATGCGTAGCACTTTAGGTGTTTCTTCATCATCTTATGATCTGATGAACTCTCGGATGCCACCCTCCATTATAAGGCTAGGAAAAAATGTTCTAATACAGACTGACGCACAGAGAACATTATGTAAACTATGGGACGTATTTATTACACTGCAGAGTCGAAACAAAACTGGACCCCAGATCCGATATCAGAAACTCGGGAACGAATTGATCAATGTGATTGGATGCATTTGTGGACTGCAGCAAGCGCCGTCCAGTTAAACTTCGAAGTTAACCTCGAGTCATGACCTTCCGTTTCACAGTGCTGCGCAAAAGGTGTCGTGTTTCACAGATTCTTTGTTCCGTCACAAGACACTAAACTTCTTTGTTTACATCCTGACTCATTCTCCCATGCAACATAGGTTGGGACAGAGGATCGTGTAATGGTTGGAAGCGATTTGTGGCACACACGTCAGAGTCAGCAGCGCATGAGGAGAATGCCACTCGAGATGGATTATCGGCTCATAAGTGTGCATAATGTGACCAAATATTCCTCAAGGTTTTTTTTACACCCTTATACTTTCTATTCGAGCCGAAATACACTAATCTGCACATTACACCGATATTCACGAGGAACTCAGTTGGATCTTTCTTCTTCGTTTGAGCCACAAGAAGCACGAGACCAGCGATAGGCTGTCATAGAGTTTTTAACAACTTCGTGAGCAATAGGTTATGCTAATAAAATCCACCGTGATATCTCAAAAATCGTGGCAAATGGAACGAGAGGTGGATTTGTGTGGTACATCTAGCTGAAGGACAGCGAGAGATTCAGTTGAGGCCCTCATTAACGCCAATTTCAATTGCAAGTGAGTCTACCTCGTGTTGTCCACCGAAGAGTGTGGGGTAGCTATCACCATAGGCCGTGATGCGGTACTATTCGGGAATACAGAACGGCACTCATTCGGCCATTTAAGGCAGACAAAGCGGTCATACCCACACAGACTAGACCGACTAAATTTAGATAAAATGATATGCACTAAAATGGACTCAGTAAAGAAAAACGCAAAAGCAAAACGCTAAAACCTTGACAGAGCGTACGAATGGCGCGTCTAATCAAGATGGGGCTGGAAAACAGCAAGACGTGCCTGCCATACACGTGGATACAGGGAGAGTGGAAACACCTCATCGGTTTTCCACAAACAGCGCAAAACAACAAGCATCTACATGTACACTTTCACAAGCGGTGGTCAGACAGTATAAACAAGGAACTAGTGTCACCACACAATAACACTGACACCCGTCCAGCAGCAAAGCCGTGCGACGAACAAACTCACGGTGTCCTCTTTACAAGGCACGTAAACAAAAGCCCCAGGTCGTGTGAATCCATGTTCGTTGTACTTGAAAAAGCATGCTTTGTCCCGTCTCCAGTCCAGTGCAGTGATATTACGGTTGAACATTTCCACAATGTGACCATGTAGGGACTTCAATGCCTCCTCGCAGCTAAGGTGCATCATAGCGGACCGGGCCAAGCTGTTGTGAAACCCGCAGGCCAGGCACTAAACAGAACGGGAAGGTCAACACACAAACAATGTAGGATGTCAGCAAGCTACCCGAGGTGTACTGGCTAAGTGAATAGCAGAATTCCACCGGTTTAACTACCCCCCCGCCCCTTAAAACCGGGTATCGACAAGCAGAAACTCCACACAAACCCCCGTGATAGAGTGAGTTACAGTTTCGCCTTTCACAGATCTGTTTTCAGTAGGATGGCTAAACCTAGGTTGGAGGGTCAAATAAGAGTCAAACACTAGAAGGACGAGCAGACAAGTCGACCAGAAGTCAAGAAGGTAAAGATAAAATCGATAATTGACTGAAGAGGTAATTATGAATTCGGCTGAAAGCTGATGAAATCCCTGAAAATGGGTAGATGAACTGAAAAACGAAAACAGAGTAAGATGGATTGTACGAAACGCTACTGGAAAAAAGTGCTTTTCATGGTTGTTTCCTAGACGTAATAAACTAAGGTTGCCGAAAACTCCTTGACAGCCCAGGACGCGTTTCGCCCTTCTTTGGGCTCATTCATTAGGCGAAGTTCCAGAGTTTCTGTTAAACTTATGTTCTACACTAACCCAAATTGGACAGATTTTGACAAATACTCTCATTTGTACACTAATTTGGTTTGGCAGGAGACTCAACTGAATCTTGCTGAAGTGGACCATAATAAACGATAAATTTAGCTTGAGTCAGCAGAATCTGACGGCTTAAAAAGGAACAAGAGGTTCCAAAGAAGATCAGAATAATCCCGTTAGCAAGTGACAATCTGTGCATTACGGGTCTGTGTGTGGTCCTAAAACGATAATAAAATAGGGTTCGTCCGTTTTAGCTACCCCACTAACGTGACTGACCCGCTTAGGTGCTGTTTTGAATCTCGAATTCACGGCCCCTGAAAACCACACTTTGAAATTCAGAATCTACATTGCTGCATTCGTTAACCATCCTGAGTGTGATCCGACCAATGTCAGTAACAGAACCGACAACACGACCCATTTATGCGCGTCACCTGGAATGGTATCGCATTGAGCTCACGCAACACTACAATAATGTCGTTGCGGTTTAGCTGCGACGCCCTTCGGCGCCACCCAGAAGTACGAAGGCTGAGTTACTGCCAGATTTATCGAGTCTATGCAGAGGAAGTAGAGATGTCGTAGTTTGAACCATTATGATTATTATCGTCATCATTAATTCCAAAACCAGATGAAGACAGTGGTGCTTTACTGCCATATTCCAAGTCTCGGCGGCCGAGTCGGCCATAGATATTGCTGCTAACGGCAACGACGGGCAAACGGATCCGCCAGTCCTTAAGATGGGTTTACGGAGTTGCCGCGAGCAATGGGGCGGGGAAGAGACAACGAATATATGAAAGGATGGAAGCGTCAGCAGTAGTCTGTCTTGGCTTACTCGTCCAGCTGTACACAGCAATTGAGGCGACCCAGCTGGTGGCACCATCAGACGACCGGTGTGGCATGAGATTATTTGTACGTGTGGCCAAAATCAGTAGAAAGCTTGCGGGGGGGGGGGATAAAATCTACTCTCTGTTTGACTGATATCGTTGTGTACACCGACGAAAATAAGGCTATGCACTACACACTGTTTGCTGAAGTTCACTTGAAAAATGCTTGGCTTCCGATTGACTAAATGTCGACAAATCGTGGATTATGAGCATACAAAATCCAGAATAGGTATTCGTCTGTGGCGGCTCAGAAGTAAACAAACGGATTTAAAGTCAACGTAATCTGACTGACTGGTCACTAATTACATCCCAATTATTGGGTTATTTCGGTGGAAACTTTCCTACAGTTCAGGGAACGGTCAGCCAAATGTCGCGTTCCAAAATTTTCATTTATAGAATGAAATTCTACGCCGGTTCAAGATAAGGTATGGATAATTGGGATCGTTCGTACTCAGACAAGGACAAATGGTCAGAAAGCTAAACAAACATTTCGATAGAGTTCAAAGCGCTTGAAAAAAACGAAGCACTGAGGCGGAAACATGAATGCATTTCTTGTCAGATTCAAACACATGCGATATACTGTGGAAGGAGAACTAAGCATTGCCTAAGGGTTAGGTTTCGAACATTCGGTTTTCAGATCATGCACGCACCAACTGCGACAACAAGTGGCGAAATAGTATTTTATGGGACTGAGGACGGACCTTCGCCAACTTGACTCACGTGTATCCTTCTATCGAGAAAGGACTAAAGGAACAACAAATCTACCGACTGTTTTTGGAACTTTTCCGGAAACGGGCTACTCTACCTTTGCGTTGCGCGGTTGATCAAGCTAAGTGCTTCAGTCACGAACCATCAGTTGGATGTGTTGGTGGCATTCCATTCCCTTTGTTCAGTTTATCCGCTTTTAATTCTGGTCTACCCAGTATAGCTCGCCATTCGTATGGCGCCACAGTGACACCAGGCTACTCCGGAAATCGACGTCCACCTAAGCATTATATTCATCCGGACATTAATCAACCGCGACAGCTAACATGTCCATGTGCGGAGATAGTTTACCAACAACCGAACAGTAAAAACAGTAAATCGGAGCTCCTGCTTACATACTTTATGGTCAATCAAGAAATTATTACCTAGCTACTCCAAATCGCGTCATCTGTCTGGATAAAGTCAGTAACAAAAGTACCGCGTTGAGGCAGTCCGAACATAACGTTTAAACGGCCAACCGTAAACACGGAGGAGCAAAAAGAACTCGTCTAGTAAGAGATGCTCATCTGTGAAGTCCTCAGCAGGCTTACTAATGGCATGCTCTGTCAAGGAAATCAATCGACTGACTGTTTGAACCAGTAGAACAGCTAACTAGTACACAGGTATTAAACAAGGCAAGCAGCGGGAACATGATCAAAGGAATGACTTTCTTCGATCTGAGGAAGGAAGAGTGATGACAGGAAAACAAAACCATAGAAAACTACAGTGCAACCTATGCGAAGCTTCTCCCAATACGAATGGACCCGTAACACACTGTAGTGACCTTATTTCAGCCAAATAGCCCAACAAACACAAACCGAATAGACGTGAAGGTAGCGGAGCGAGTAAAGACTGCAGTATGACCGGCGAAAATCAACAGGAAGCAGTTTTGGCTATCGCATTTTGCAGCAAATGTTGATCGAGAAGCAGCAGGAAACCAGAAACAGGACGAAATGAGTGGAAACATTCATAGTCACACTGAAAAGAGCTTTCAACAACTGTAAATGTCAACTCTGGCAGCAACGCAAGCATGTTTAGATCCGACTGAGAGGGGTCGATCAAGTAGTTCGGAACCTGGCCCAGATACCAGGACAAGCAATCAAAACAGTAACACCATATACTATCACGATATATAACCATTTTTTACTGCTGTTTACTTACACTTAAAGATCATTGATAGCTAACCATTTTGGTGAACACGGGCGAAAACTGAGAGTAAAGCCACTCATTAGAGGATACCATTGGGAGGACCGATATGTCCCCGAGTAGTAGGTGTCTCTTCTCCCAGTACTTCATGTCCTAATACTCAACGTGAAGCAGTGCAACCATCCTATCTAACATTAAGCGAAGGTATCGGCTTGCTAAAAAAAACCTGGGTCCGAACAAATGTCCATCATATAGCCTGAAAATGTTTCCAATTTTTTTTCGATGTGCTTATTCAAAACCTTCCCCAACTCTCGCACAGAAACATGAACCGAATGTCGTTCAAAAATGGTGCCAATTTCTTTGGTTTTGTACCCTAATTTCAAGGAGCTGCGGTCGTTTCTGCAAGTAACTTAATGCATCATTCGTTTCACCACAAGTGTTATAACGGAATTTGAGTCCTGTAAGCCGGTCAACGACTGCTCTGAAACCGATGTCTCATTCCACTTTCTAAACCCTTTCTAAACACGAAATACCAAAATAACTCTGGCTTTGAACTGTTAGCCTATTTTGGTTTGGCAGCGCGGGTGCCATTCGACCACCGTCCAATTGGTAAATTCAAATCCCATCTTCATGGGTATAATTCTGCAAGCGACAAGGGGGATACGTTTTAAAGACAGAAGAACATAACCAAGGAAAATACACTGAAGTTCCGGAAAAGAGTAAGTTCTTAGTGAATTATCCCTCGCAAATCCCACAGGATTTAACTTACATCAATAATATCGGGAGCCTCCTCGGTAAAGTACCGGGCAACGCTGTGATTGGTTGCAGCCAGCTGCAAGAGGTAGTCGTTCCGGGCTCGCGCAGTTGCCAGAGTTGCATTCGTGTAGACTTGTTGTTTCTGAAAGGCAGGTGGAGAACATTAGTCACACGGGTAAAGCAGTTTTACCACGTTTGATAACAGAGTAGAATGGGACAACTGGAAGACGGTTGAAAACTAAGATGTGTCCCACAGATTCTTGTCTGAAATGCTGATAACTTCTCGAGTATCAATCGTTAGATTCCGCCCAAGCTCCTACGCATGTGACAAACATCATAGACTATTGCGTATGAGCAGTCAATCCAGTGTCCAGAAAAATACAGTTGAAAATCAGAGCAGAGCTTGAGTTGGGGATGGAGGCTCAACAAAACCAGTTCTAGACAACGGGTACCAAATCTTACGTGTAGTGCACCACTAGAGAGAAAGATTGTACTCTACCGCTCAAATATCGAGCACACAGACAACTGTGCTCTCCAGAGACTGTGGTACGGATCGCGTGTATTCAGAAACAGAATATGTGACTAAAGAACTAAAACAAACACGTGCTCACGTGTCTAAAAGCAACAGAGTTGTCAGCATGAACATGATGACTGGTGAACTGAAGTTAGCGTCGTGTCCTCGTGATGCACACATGCATACGAGTTGTCAGTTGGTTGCGCTTGTGCATATTAGTAAATAATTCATATCGCACTTGAGAAAATCAAACTTGTTTGCATACGATACAACGTAGAAGATCCTGGAAAATTGCATTCGTGGCTGACACACGACCAAGATGCTGACCTTGACCCTCTTTGAAGGACTGAAAATGAGGCATGGAGCGCCACTATTGCCTAAAATCGTTTCGCGTAAAGGATGTCCGGGGGACATAAAGCACAATAGCACGATTTTCACCAGGAAAGCAAAACGTCAACCTCCAACAACCGCGAATTACGGTACTAAATTTTTTGCTTGGAACACACCGACCAAGATTCCAGTGGAAAAATTCTTGGATTCCATCTTACACGATTGTTTACATGGACTCCTCATTGAATCACCTTAAAAGGGAGGATGGATGGCGAGTAGTATGATGATCGCTGATCAGTACCGAGCTAGACGATTTAGTTACAAACGTTTCACCAACAATCGAGGTGATTTCAGTGCGCTGTTGGTGGGCGTAGCGATGATTCGGTGGTTGTGCGTTAAGCAGTGTCGCGCGCGTGTTATTATGAATGCTGCTAGCCAGGACTGACCTTAGATCACGATCGGTCGGGCGGTTCGATTGGGGAAACCAAGCTCAGAAGTCACGTGGTCATCGACGGATAACAGATTGACTAAGAGGACCGCTCAACCGAACAGCCAATCATGATCGAAGGCCAGCCCCGGCTAGCAGCACGTATAATAACACTACTCAGCGCTCACTCATCGCTACACTCCTCTACGCACCACAACAACACACTGATGATGTCACCTCGATTGATGATGAAACGTTCGCAGTCAAATTACCCCAGCTCAGCAAACAAACCAACGATCATGTACGCTACCTGACCTACTAAATTCCTCCTCAATAGCAACAAACTATTAAGCTTCAATCTCGACCACAAAGCGCTCTGAATTTACCAAACATCTCAGGAAGAAAAACTGACTCAGTGTGTGATGCGATGCGCCATATTATGGCCCTTCTCATTTGTTGATCACGAATCGCCTCATAATTCGCAGCATAAAACAATGAATGGCTGGCTTCCCATTTGGAATCTAATACACAAATGTCTTTTGTATGAAACGCGACATCGGCCGCGCACACTAGAAGGAAGTATTATCAGACACATACGTGTCGCATTGACTACATTCCCCACAAAAAAGTGACTTTGATGGATGAGGGACGTTGGGTGCATCTGACAAAAAAGTGGTCATGACCGAACGCATATACATAAACGTTATAAAGTAAACAGTTCCCAGCTCGTTTCAAACAATACACATGTGATCACTTCAGTGACACTGCAAAAATTTAAGCGAGGAAACTCACAGCCTCAAATTCTTTCTGAGAACGTAAATACCGCTGACTGGTTGTCGGATCTTTGCCCTTACTGCGAGCTTTCTGGTCGGATACGGTTAGTTTGTCTTCGAAACGTCGGCATACACGCCCAGCCTCAATTGTGGCTGTTTGTTTGTTCATATATTCTCGTAGATCAGCTTGAAGCTTGGCAGTGTTACTCAGAACACGGTCTTGACAACAGGACATCATTTCACGACACTGTACAATAAAATGTTGCATGAAAAACGACAGTGGTCAGTTTAGTAATGACAGCCACGTCATTGAACTCACGTAATGGACCGCCAGCGGTCTGTTATGAGCTGAGCACAGACGATCCAAGTGAAACAAATTGAGACCACAAAACACCAGAATGATTGAAGGCTCAAACTATGGTGTTTAACTTAGACGATCCGGTTGTACATACCACAAACAATGCACAGTGTGACCTCACCTATGTAGTGCGCGTTTGTCAAGCAGTCATCAGCGGGACCGCTAGTGATAATCTATGCAATGGTGCAAAATATTTTTGTGTGGAACAAAACCAATGCATGACGAAACAATCAGAGCTTTTATTGAAAATTATTATCAAAGTGCTCAAGTTTTGACAACTCAAACCTGAAAACTTCAGGATAGTAGCGAAACGTTACCATTCAGCTACGGGTGACTGAAGATTGGTATGGCTTCCTAGCAAGAACAGTTTACGGAGCCTAATTTGGCAAGCGGTTCGCCCCACAAGATGATAATTCCTTTCACAAAAACCTCTGCCGCATGCTGGAAGTCAAAAGCAGCTTTAGGTTTCACTTCAGAAACGAGTCTTCGCCACGGTGAAGCGAGTTTTGTTAGATGGACAAGTATACGTCTCGGTTTCTACCACGGGTTGAGGATGCAGCGCATCCAACAGGGAGTTGACACATGTAGACTAAACAAGACGGAATCGAAACCAAGAGGATAGCTAACCAATGTTAACACTCCTACGCCGTAAGGCTGGCGAAGAGTGTTCATCGCGTCCTCTATCCGTGATGTGTTAAGAATCGACAGAAACCTACCGAAAATAGTAGGTTTAGATCCATCAGTGATGAACTGTGAAACCAACAGAAAGCAGAACGTTTTCAACACACCTACACGACCTGCTATCGAGTTACCACCAGATTCATATGTTGACTTTTTTTCTCAAAAAATCTGTTTCGCATCGGTTGCGCTGCACGAATGACGCAACTCTGAGCAAGTCGAAGTGTGTTTCAAAGAGGTGATGGGCATCGACGAAACATTAGAAGGAGCTGGGAGGACCATCATCTTGTTGGGCGGAATCTTCAAGTGACCCGTAAGCTCGGGTGGATAATATACCAGGTAACGTAGACGACAAATCATACTATAAGATCGGCTCCCATAAATTTAGCAACAACCACCATGGGAGGAAATTCTCGCGATTCAAGGCACGCGAATTCATAGAAAACGCGTTTACCGACAGCCAGAGTCGATTAATCTGGACATATCGATTGGATCCACAGAATGTTCTCGCACTCACGATGCGGTAATGTACGGAACAGTTTAGGCTGTTGCAAGCTACTTTGATACACCAGTTGTGTACAGGTTGAGGCGTAAAATTTTAATACAACTAAATTTCGCTAACTACTAAAGGAAGGGGTTAACGAAGGGGCGAGATGGCCCAAGTGGTTAGAGCGCGAATTTACTGACCGGAAGGTCCGTGGTTCGAACCCGACCTCTGCCTCTCGACTTCCCCTGTCCAGGCTTGAGCAACCTGGAAATATCCCAGCCCTCGTGCAACCTTCGGGTGGCATGGCAGCCAGGCACCAGAAGGGTGTTACAGCTGAACGATAACCAAGAATCTTTTTAAGACCGAACGGCGCCTACAGTCAAGGTCAAGGAAGGAAAGCGTAAGCAGTTGTACGATACTAACACCCGAGATAGATCAGCGGTTAAGGTGCGAACCTACCGATCGGTGGCAAGAACCCAACTGCGGCATCTCGACTGCTGCAGTCTAGGTTTCGGCAACCTGACAGTGACTTAGTTGTCGCGCTTCCTTCGGGTGTCATTGTAGCTAATCACCTGAAGGGTGCTACTGCCGAACGATTATTAGTTTACTAATACTAAGGCTAGTAGATCAGAAGGCCCACGAAAGTTGTCTCTCAAATCGACAGAATTACAATAGCAGCTTCGAAATGGATCAAAACTAATTTAAATGCTAAAGGCATTCCCTGGATTGCCAGGACGAGTTGCATGATCTATTTGTCAGGAACTACACGTGATGTAATGATTGAATATTCAATCAAACCGCTGAGCGGATCATGTGGAAATCCAGCCTCCAGTATTGTCAGGTTGAATTTGACATCATCATGTGATCTGGTAGAAGAGAACCTTCATAGTGAAGGCGAGTAAAGTAAGGGAGCTGTTCAAATGAAGAACATGGCATGCAATGTTTGTGCCGCCATGTCCGAAAAATAGGTTCCGTGGCGAAAAGCAAATGCTGCGGGTTCTGCCACTGTGACCATGGATTGCTGGCTGCTGAGGACGACAAAAACATGCTTCTAGGCAGGGGAAAAGTTATAGCATTGTCCTCATCCGAATGGTCACAGGAAACATATCACCAAAAGAAGGAGCAACGAAAACAACCGTGGAAAAATGTGAACACCTACGAAGCAGGACAAAGAAAAGATTCAAGATTGGGTGAGCCATAAAACTTTCAGCTGTGAAAGTGGACCAAAGTCAAAAATTCTGACTAACGAGGCTGATTTTTCGGGATGAGGTAGCGTCTATACCAGAATTTCGCTGAAGTGCGGACAAAGACGGAAAACTTTTTTGCCATGATGAGCACACGAAAGTCAATGCTTATGAGTGCTCTATCTGTCACGAAGATCCAAGTGATATATGATCACCACAACAAGAAGATTCTCATCCAAATGTACGAAGAGAACCAAAAAATGCTCGACTGGAAAGTCCAAAGAGAACCAAAAAATGCTCGACTGGAAAGCGAAACGCGCTGTCGCAGCCAAAACGTGCATCAATTTGCATCTACAAAAACATTGTTGTCGTTATGGCAACAGCTTTGTTTCGAAGCAGAACAGCTCACATTACCTATGGGCTCAGATGTATTAATGCACAGAAAACTGCGGATAGAGGCTGGAATCGACAGAATATCGTTGGTTCAGAGACAAGGTTAACGTTACTTCAAACGTGACCGAAACGAACAAACTCAGTAAGTTGGCGAGCCGATATGAACAACAATGATTTAGTATACTGCTCATGAACTGCTAGAATGATCGACCAAGTTTATGTGGGGCTAAGAAATGAAAAATAAATCGTTCAGCTGTAGCACCCTTCCGGTGTCTAGCTGCCGTGCCACAAGAAGAGGCACGAGAGCTGGGATACTGCCAGGTTGCTCAAGCCTAGACAGGGGAAGTCAAGAGGCAGAGGTCGGGTTCGAACCACGGACCCTCCGGTCAGTAAATTCGCGCTCTAACCACTTAAGCCATCTCGCTGAGACCGCAATACCTTCCCCACCCAGAGGTTTTCTTTATGACAGGGAACACGACAGTTTTCCGTGAGGATCTTTGAATCTCCACTGTCCGTGTACCATACATTTTCGTTTTTTCTAAGAACATCACATTCTGCATTGGTTAAAATGCCACATAGCGTCAACAAATGCAACAAAATATTGTCATTTACACTTCTCCAACACAAACACACGCATCCCTGAAAGTGTGAGCCACGTAGACGAGTGAGCCTACCACGCACCTGTTTGTGCAGACGAACGGCGTCTTCGTCCATGTCGGCCAAACGCTGTACCATTTGTTTGGCAAACAAATCAGCCAGAGTGGAATGGGCTTCGGACAACCGCAGAGTGGAACCGAGCAACGTATTCAAAATCGTCGTCGTTGTGTACGGTGCCCAATGAGGGCGTCTAGAAATGGAATGGGAGACAAAATGTGTGCTGGTGGTGGTGATAGTTAATGGGAATTCACATTGAATAGTAGAAAGGGCGTTGGCGCATAAACAGTCACCCATCAGCCTATTGGATGTGCGTGTGTGTGTCTCTTTTAACTGCTGAGTCAACATCTCATGTAGTGGGCGGGCATGTGTGGCTTTACGAATCTATTCGCGTTGCCGAGGGCTGTACAAATCAATAAACTTTGGATGGATAGAGGGTGGATGGGGCAAGAAACAGACGAAGCTATGTGTGGCATAAACGACTACTAAAAACAATAAGGAGACATAAGCGGGGCGGACACGATGTTTACCTTAGCTCCATGGCAAATGGCCCACACGGAATAAAAAAAGACAAAGGCAGTAATTGGGAAAAAAGTGATAAACAGATTGGAGTCAGATACAAATTAGCCTATCGAATGCCAAGGAAGGCTGGAAGAGAGACGGAACAAACTCGACTGGCGATAGCACGTTGCGCTTCGGATGGACATGAAATCAGGCTCAAGTATTTTCGATGACACAGGAAACTAGTGTCCACAATAAACTTCAAGAGATTTAGTTCTCGGGATGTCAATGAACGGAAAAACAGAACCCGAATGAACTCTGAAACTACACTAGGTCTGAGCAACGAACCGAACTGCTGTTATCCCCCAATTCATTCGATAAATGAACATTAATCGAGTCACACAAGTATAACACTTAGCGACACGTCCGATATTTGTGGGTCTTGGAAGCGCGATCAATAACATACATACTGGAATCTTGAATTCCTACCAGAAATAAAACAAACGATGAGTGGAATACCCAAAATATGTGACATCCACTTTCCAACCTGCATGGGTTAGAAACGGGAGGCTATGGCCGAAAACAGATGGTTGATAAATATAGCTTGTGAGAAAAGGGATATAGGATCTGATTCTAATCTGCGTGGGGTTATTCCCAAATCTGAGCGGTGCTCAGTCACTCGTTTTGTTACGCGAAGTGTACAGTGTTTATGTTCTAAAACACTGGAAAGTGATCATTTAAAAGACATAACTAAGTTTCCCACGTTTCAAGCTCCAGCAGTAAAGTTTCACAGCCAAAAAGTACCACCCAACCCTTCACAAGTACAGTCCCACTACAACTTTCAAGGGTCACGTGACTGCTGGGAAAAATTCCATATTTACCATTTCACGAGCACATCAGTGCATACATTATCCATACACAAATACCCTCGAACAACTATGTTTAAAGGAAGAAAGTGCGCTATCCTTAAGAATTCCCAAAGGGGCACTTCGCCAGAGCATCCAGTTAGAGCTAAATAAGTGGGGCGGGGAAAAGCAACCTGCAACAATAAACACACACTTTGCTGTCTCATTGGCATGTCTCTGTTTCAGGGTGTTGGCTAGTTTGGCGAGGGCATCAGCATAGTCCTGTTCGACGACAGCTCGACGACGATAGAATTCTTGCAGTTCGGCCAACACCGTGCAATCTATGTCGAGTTTCAAATCCAAACATTTAGACTGCTCTATAAACTGGGTCCTCAGATCTGAAACAGAAAACACACATATGGACTGCTTAGAGCAAACAAACAAATGGGGAGGGGATAGACAAAGAGGAAACAATGTGGTGAAAATTAGGGGAGCTAGATCACAGTGACATGAGGAAGGTTAGTGGCGCCAGTAAGACAAACCGCTGCGATGATGAACATGTCCGGCTCAGCTATCAGCGACGAGAGTAGAAAGGATCAGTAAGTAAGTAAGAGGACGGGACGTGAAACAATAGAGTGGCTGTGATGCCACACGGGGGGAGCTACAAAACTGAAAGCATCAGAAAATGGGGCCAGTCTGACTGCTGTTCACTGGAGTAACGATTAAAAAAAGTCAGGACACGAAAAGCAGAAAAAGACTTTGGAAAACGTTGCCTCAGTAGAACAGAAGTTGCTGTGATTGAAAGTATGAAAAATGCATTTCAACTCGAATCAAAACAGAGCAGATCCTGGAAAAAACAGATGTGCTAAAAGAAACTGTAAGCGGATAGGGAAGACAACAGATAAACGGAGCAACAAAAAGTAAAAATGCAACCGCAAACCCAAGCGCTGAGTGAAATTGGCAAAAACATGCAGGACAAATGCAAGCAGGCATGAACGGGCAGAGCAACGAACTGAAAAAGCCATTTTTCGAATGGCGAGGGACAGGCCAAACTTACGCCAATCAATGCCCCCGATATATTTCGAGGAGGATATAGAACGTCGAATGTTTGAACTGCGCCTGAGTGATCCCCCCAAATGAGGACCCAGTCCGCAGGAATAGTCCATAGTTAGAGCAGAATAGGTTCAGCACCTGAGCATGGTGATTCGAGTAAACACAAGGGAAGCCAGAAGGTGGGACGAAATTATGCGAGCACGACGACGTTATGAAAACTTGGTGCTGCTAAAAGTCGAAGAAATCATTTGTGAAGCAAGGAAAAAAGAAAGGTGGTCTAGGAAGCAAGAGGAATGGATGGTGGACAGATGAGTATGGTGATGGTGACAACGGTAAAGGATCAGAGGATTAAGCTGTTGTATCGTTGTATCAGAAATCTATTGCCGTAAAATATCTGATAGGCCAAATAGAACCAGAATTCAACTGCGACTTTTAACACTTGCGTCATCCGCTGTCACCGGAAGGACAGATATGTTCGATTATAAATGGTCGTTTGCACAATAACCGAGGGATATAACAGTACCAATACAGGAGCGTTAAAAGAACCGGAAAAAGCGTAGAAATAAACGTAAAGCATAGCTAAACGGCCAGTCAAAATATAGGAGAGTAAGCTGCCAAAGTAAGCTGTTACTACGCAAGAGGTGAGGCAAGGTGGGCGAGCACCCAATCTAAAAAAGCTATCAATAATCGGCATCCCGACTTCACAGAGCACTCGACTGTCCGACATGTCACATAAGGCCAAAAGTATGCTGACAGTAACCCACAGGCAAATATCAGAAGACCTGGTGAGCAAGCATGCAATGAATGGTTGTACGGTGCTGAAGCAGTGTTCAACACTGACGTTATGCTGTCGACGATAATGATGACGGTGTTGTGAAGGGCGGGCGGCCTCTATACCAAAAGGAGATGGCACCGCATCCTATTCGTAGGTTAGCAACAACACAAAACCACGGAACCCCTTTGGGGTTCCACACGATAGAACAGGGGGACGAGATGGCCCAAGTGGTTAGAGCGCGAATTTACTGACCGGAAGTTCCGTGGTTCGAATCCGACCTCCGCCACTCGACTTCCCCTGTCTAGGCTTGGGCAACCTGGCAGTATCCAAGCCCTCGTGCTTCCTTCGGGTGGCGTGGCAGCTAGGCGCCGGAAGGGTGCTATAGCTGAACGCTTTCTTTCTTTCTTCGATAGAACAGGGTTTGTACCTCTTGCCCCTCTTGCACATAGATGGACATGCTACGCTGTATTGCCACCAACGGTTTAACGGCGTTCATAGCGTTAGATTATACCTGGACTATCTGACTGAATACCTGGAGGTGCGAGCATTTCAAACTGATGGCGACGAATCAGGACTAGATCGCCCCCTTTCTGAGTCCTCTGTTTTTAGTCTGTAACTTTTCACAAGTATTTGGAAAGTTGCACGATGAAAAATACTATTGCCAGTGACGGTGGAAGAAGTCAAGGAAGATATACAGCTGTGTCATTCGACAATAACAAGAAAAAGGATAACAAGGGTAAGGGTTTTGAACCAAAACAGCAACATTCAAAATCATAAAACAAACACGACAATTTAAGGACAAAACTTTGGGTAAGGCAAAATGCTATTTAACTGCGCCCAGACAGACGACCAATATGAATTCAACCAAGCCTCAAAAGCTTCTTGATCCGAACAGACTTAGACTGTAGAGAGGACGAAACAGCAAACGCTGTCTGCCGACTCACCAGCACACACCAGTTTATTAACAGAAGAGTGGAAACGTATCTAAGTTTAGTTCAGATGGTTTGACCGTACTTTCATGCTCCCCGATAGTTAACAGGAAGCCGTTAACTATGGAAAAAAATCATTCAGCTGTAGCAACCTTTCGGTTGCTAGCTGTCATGCCACACGAAGGGGCTGGCATACTGCCAGGTTGCCCAAGCATAGACAGGGGAAGTCGGGAAGCACAGAACGGGTTCGAACGACGGAGCTTCCGGTCAGCAAATTCGCGCTCTAACCACTTGAGCCACCTCGCCCCCTAACTAACTATGAAAAAGACCGGCAACTTTCATATCTCGAAGGTCTATCCGATTGAGGTAATCTCAATGACTGATGAAGACATTCTATAAGTAAGAACATATTCGCGGTTCATTGGCCCCTATACTAGATCTGAGATCACGTGAGAAATTCACATCAATGGCTTCTTATGAGTCTGTTTTTATCAATTTCCCTGTCCAAACATGCCGTTGCGCTGATCGCTGAAGAAAGTCTCATTATTCACTGGTCACGTTCTCAAACAGATGATGAGGTGACGCCTAAAGGCTTAAAATATACGGACGGTATCACACCACATAGCTCAAATTGCATCCAAATTAAAAAGTCACGTAACTTAACGAACGATGCCAAGTCTTTCAAATTGCCCTTTCTACCCTTAAATACTCTTCAGGACTAAGCGCTCAAAAGTACACGTATATGGGTAATTAAAGAACTTTAGACGGCACATTTAACTGAAATCGTTCCGATTCCGCCACCCCCAGCGCAATCTGATGACGACGCGGCCTTCAGGAAAGTCATGGTATGGTAGAAAAGTGGCATAAAGTTTACAGCCGAACAAATGGTTGACCGTCTGATTGACTGATTGGTTGACAGAGTGAGTGAGATTGTCCAATGTTAATTCACATGTGTGAAGCCAGCATGTGTTGAAGACGAAAAGAGACCATGTGATTTTGACAACTCAAGGCTCTCAACATTCAAAGCACTGAACCGAAGTTTGGGATTAGTCAGCAAGCCGAAGAACGTCGATAGGTTTTCCGAAATAAGTCAAATGTTCGCCCAATTTGTGATTTAATTCGCTAATAACAGTTACATCCGCTTGGCTGTGCACTTCGTATGCCAGGTAGCCGACTGTCTGGTGATATCCTGCCGGTTGAATCACACTCCATTATGAACAAGTTTTATGGTGGAAACGATAGAGTGTGAGTCCAGCTGCGCTGACTCTACAGTGGCATGACGCTAGAGTCCCATGGCAAAATGTTAAGGCAGAAACTTTGCTCCCGTCTGGGCTTGGATAACCAGGCCTTCTCATAACCATAGGACTCTGCACTACACGGCAGCAATACATCGAAAAGGTGCCACAGCCGTAAAGCCTGATTTGCCTGCTTTTTGTGTTGGTGAGATATTCTTGCCAGGATAGGACCGATGTGTCTCTCTTCGACTAAAGATGCTGAAAAAAATGGCTGAGACCAGTGTTAGCTGCGTTCATGATGTCAGATTCCACTCATATCACCAATCAATCACCGATGACATATAAATAGGCGCTGATAAGCAGAAATGAGGAACAGAAGAAGCCACACTGGGAATAACGGCTAAGCAGAACATGCAACAGGTGTGAGCCAACAAAGGGACAGTCGGAAATGCATTGTGCAAGAACATCAACATGGCACCAATTTCGAGTTAAGCACACATACTGTAATCAACCCCCATGCAACTGGTCAAAAACAACAACAAATACGAAGAATGCTAATGGCAGCAGGAAATATTGCTCCCCATTAAAAATTTTANTTTAGTCAGTAGGGAAAGCCGAAGAAACAAAAAGTAAGCCCACTGGACAGTGGAGAAACATTGCAGGGTACATTGAAAAAAATCCCTGGCGCCACTCAGGGCATAGTTAGGTAAGTGATATTAGGAACATCGAAACCAGTAGTTGCTGAGCAGATATTGGGAAGGGTAACGATCGGGAAAGCTATAAGTCATGATTACACAATCAAAAGAGGAGGCCGAACAATAGGGTGTCATCACAAAAAGACACGAACAAGCGGAAGAGACCATTAAACGTTCACATAGAAAAAAATCTTAAATGGATCGCCGAAACTATTGGTATAAGATAATCAGAGCCTAAACACCTCTCAGCGCTTTCTTCACGAAAACCCCGAATCATCTCATTCCGACATTGCATTAGGAGTAGATCGTACTAAGTTCTGTATCATCATAGTGGCAAGATCATATTCGGTGCAAAATACTACGGAAGAACATGCACTTCTTGATCCGTCCTATGACAGGCAACTGTTATATACGGCAATTTTGGTCACCTAGCTGGAAGTGATTCAGCCGCTAGGCATGAGATTTCCATGTAGCTGGCCATCTTTCTCAAGTAAAAGATACATAGGTAACCAACGAGCAATGGCCTGTGCACATAAAAAAAAACTAATTTGCGATACACTTCAACAGCTAGCTCGGTACCAATGTTCTCTGCCTAATTCATGATGACAGTCTCCTGGACATGAATGAGTCGACTGCGGTAATGTTTTGAACAGTCACCGTCCGTGAGGAATGAGCAAAGGGATGGCCCGAGCAGTGTTATCCGCTATTAACTGGTTAAAACCGGAGTTGATGTAAGGAACCATAAGCCCTAAACGTCGAGTTAGAATTCTAACCATGATGAGTACCAACGTGTCATCCTCAGTAGGTAGGTGGCGAGTCACAACTACCAAAGGCGACCAAAACTAAGTAAATGAAACGTATGTGCATCACCATCTATCAGAAAAAGCGCCATTGCTGCTTTGGCCGGGTTCATCAAAAGTCTCCATTTCTGATTAATTCGCCAATTTGACCTATCACCTGTGTCGCTCATTCCTGAGGCCGTAGGCCAGTCGCCACATGGCCCTCGGAATTCTGTCTAATGTACTTCCTTCCTTCAATTAAGGTTTTCGATACCCAACATGTGTTAGGTATCAGCTTTGTTTTCGGATGCGCCCATTATAAGGCTTACTTGACTCCAGTTAGTATTTTTTAGTGATTTTCGGTTTGATAGATTGGTTCGACTCATCAGAGAGGTCACCAGTAGACTTCTCTGTCTGCCTACCAAAAATCACATGGGGTCCATAACTGTTTCTCTTCACTGAGGTAAGAAAAAGAAGATCAAGACAGGTACGAGGTAGACGTGCTTCAAAAACGAACCATAGGCTTGGGTACACAAACACCAACAGTGGCTGATCGTCAGATGACCGTCCTGTGTTTAATTCGCTGTAGTTTGGAGGGCGTGAGGTGAGATCCCGGAAACTAATGGGTAACACATGTATGAAGTTACCCATGGTGCCAGTTCTTTCATCATTACGCTTATCTCACTAGACAAAATCGTCATATCCATACCTTTCGCCATCCACAGAAGCCTAGAAAGGTTCCGGTAAGCCGCTTATGACAGTCACATTGCCTTAATGGGTGCAGCATACACACAATAAGCAGGTTACGAATTTTCAGTGGTGGTAGATCGGACTAGTATAGCTGCACATAGTGGGCTAGTAAAAATAACCTACCCAAGGAAGACGCTCTCGATTCTCGTACACAATACGATTCCAAGACAATTGAAAACGGATTAACAATAATATAATAATATGCTATAGTATAGCATAGTATATGGGAGAAGATATCCTGTGCACAGCCGCCATGCAAGTCGGAGGCACTACTAGGTTAGCAAACCTAGACAGGAGCAACCGAGAACCATCATCATCGGCAATACACCAGGAATAAATACTGCCATATAAGACTTAGTAGAGTGAGTTTAGTGGAAGGTCTTTAAGGAAAACTAGTAAGAATAGAGTGCCCACACATCTGCACAGCAGTAGACCGAACACATCTGAGCATCACATCGAAGTAAGGCGCCATAAGAGGGATCGAAAGATACATATGCGAACCTCAACTGACATAAGCCGGACTCACAACAGGTGAAATCGGATCACGCGGCATGCGCGGAAATGGGGTCGGTTGCGTACCGTGTTCTGTCGTATTCCCAAACACCCACAAGTATGACACTATATGTCCTAGCCAGAAAGGTGCGCAGAGCCCGCGTTTCTCAGTTTGATAGTAGCCACTTCCATTTCAAACTGCCCTGTTACGGCCAATCTCCCGCGAACCTTTCTCCAACAAATGCTTCGGACAGAATACAACAAGTCTCGGGTATATAGTGGATGGGCATAAGTAACACACCCCATCCACTGACCGGAAGGATCGTGTTTCGAATCCGACCTCCGCCACTCGACTTCCCCTGTCTAGGCTTGGGCAACCTGGCAGTATCCTAGCCCTCGTGCTTCCTTCGGGTGGCATGGCAGTTAGGCACCGGAAGGGTGCTACAGCTGAACGCTTCATTTTCCATCCACCTCGATGTAGTAGTTTAACCGCCTGCTCTAACAATTCTGATTAATTACCGGGTATCTACCTTGAGTATCACCTCGCTGCGTATCCGCTGCAGTCAGCTGACTCTCAACATGCCATACCAGTGACCAAACACTTAAAGATGTTCGTGGTCCTCGGATTAGCGGGGCAAGACCCCACAACCATAAAGACCACTCACAGTATATACTGCCCCAGAGATTCAGTAAAATTAGGTTTTGGCGCCAAAAATGACGCAAACTGGGTGCATAAATGGATAGACAAACAGGGAGCACATAGTATTTGGATCCCCGTGAGATTGTCTGAACTGGAAAGTCGGCTGTTCTTAGGTATCCAGTTGTGTAACAAAGCCGCAACTCGCAAACTGAGTGCTGTACTGGGATCGGCACAACTCAATGCAATAGCTTCGGAGTCATGCAAAGTCGATAGTGTTTAGATAGCTAGGATGTTGCACACTAAGCCACCGTACCCGAATCTTTCAGTTGAACTCCGGTGATTCGAAAGATGTAAATCGATAAAGTATCTATAGACGCGCAACAGTAGCTTGTTGGACGATATGCCTAAGAGTTTGCAGTTGAAGGTTACATAAGAACGAGTGAACGAGGCCTGAATAATGGGCTCGGTGCGACAGGATGTAGTGCGGTGTCAATCACCTAAGTGCATGACAACGTGCTCACGCCTGGGACCTGCATATGTGGATGCCAAAGGGAACAGCAGAATAGTTAAGGGGTAGCAATGAAATAAAAAGATGGGAAGCTTGTGAAAGTCGAATGTTTCTTGTTGTCAACCACGACGCGCATGTTGATTAGAGCGAACTACCACTGTCACTACGCGATAGTTCATGTGGAATGTAGGCAGTTTTACTTGTGAAGTCCACGGTTGTACGTGAGTTGAGCTGTTACCTGTGTCCAAACACAGACAGAAGGACAGTCAAGGTCCTCAAACAGATCTTTTGGCGCTGAAGCCTGACATCAAGACGTCGCTGGTCGGTGTGAAAAAATCGCTCAGCTATGGCATCCTTTCGGTGCCAGGCTGTCGTGCCACCAGAAGGAAGTAGGAGGGCTAGAATATTGCCCGGTTGCCAAGCCTGGACAGGGGGAGTCGAGAGGCAGAGGTCAGTAAATTCGCGCTTTAACTACTAAGTCATCGGAGCGGCACAAATCTGTGAGCAGCAGACTACAACACCTGTTCCAACCCTAACCCGGAGTACTAGAAGAGTGCAGGTCACTACTGATCGGAAAATCCATAGTTCGAACCCAACATTAACATCTCCACCGCTCCAATCTAGGCTTGGGCAACCTGGAAGTATCTTAACTCTCGAGCCTCCTTCAAGTGGCATGGCGACTATGTACAACAGCTGAACGTGTATGTTGGAACTCTATTCAGTGACTAACGTGTTAGGAGACCCCGTGAATTTTGAAGGGACACGCTCTGGTACAGCTCAGTGAGTTAAGGACCTAAACAAACCGCCGCAACCCAATAAAGTGCAGCGCCTTTCAACGGACTGAAGTACCTGCTACACAACAAAACATTCATTTTCTTATTACCACCTCATGAATAAGCTAGAATTAGTGAAAAACCTGCTGATTCATCTGGAATCTTCGCTTCTTTCATTTCCTCAACCTTTTGGACTACCCAGGCTCCCAAATCTGCATCCACACACAATTTTACCCAGTATCATGTGCGAATTTGGATTGCTCCTGTAACCTGAAAGGATCTGACACCGGGCCTCATGAAGACCAGTACTGCCAGACACCCAACCCCTGAAAAAGGACAACTGGACTGTGAAGCAGAAATACGTTCCTATATGGCGTGCGGCTTTGAATGCCTCGCACACGCGGTTTAAACCCAAAATCTAGCCAGCATACGGGTATTTGAGACAGTAGCCCCGAAAGACTTGATGAATTTGGGGTCCGCGATCTTTGCAATGACGAAGCAGTGTGTTTATTTTGGGTGGACCTGAGAAGCATGTTAAAGAAGGTGCAAGTGTATGATTGGAAAGTACTCAAGTATTTCACAAGGTGCAGCAAGAAGTCGCAGGCCTCGCAGTTGGCAAGACAGTGTGGTCCAGTTGGATCCAAGGCTAGTTCTTTAGTACGTACCACACAGTCAAACGCTTTCTCTGCACTGGAAGTTGATACTGCAAAAATGTCTGTGGCCAGGATAAATCTGTAATGCACACTCTCCAGTGGTTATATATATCTGAAGCCCAAAAAAAACAATCTCAGCCTCAGTAGCAACCCCACCCACTTGCACATTCAAGTCACCAGCCATAACAGTGAAAAAACCCCGAAAGTCCAGTTGGGCTACAATATCCTACCGGTGCCTAGGCGCCATCTCACCCGAAGGAAACAAAAGGGCTGAGACTACCAGGTTAAACCGAGCCAGTAATAGTCAAGATGCAGAGTTTGGTTTCGTACCACTAACCTTTTGGTCAGTAAATTCGCGCTTTAGCCAGTAGAACCCAGTCTTAGTAGACCAACCAATCCAGCCTCAACAGTGCAAGGTGTATGTCACAACAGGGCGTTCAAAGCGTCGTAAAACCTGTCTTGAGTGCAACAGAGACACGGTCCATTGGGTCATGAGCATATACGCCGAACAGACTGATTATCGGCACGTTTATGGGATGCTCTAATAGGTGTTGCTAGACGAGCAACACATACGGGGATTAGCTACGTGAAACAATTAAACCAAAGACCCTTCAAATCGACGGTTTAGAACAGTATCAACCCCAGCAGGACCAGATCACCTGAGGTGCACAATCAGAAGCGAGCGCAAACCGATGGGGAGGTCAGTCTAACTACCGCAACTGAGTCTTGAATTCTGTCCTCAAGGAGAAAGCCTATACCAATAGAAAGCGAGTCCAGCGTACATGCAGGGGCAGTCGGTCATTCATCTTGTTTGAAAGAGCGAACGTCACAAGCTGCCAGATGAACTGACTATCGGGGATGAAGGATTTCGAATTGTCTATGGAAGTGGCAGCCGAGTTGACCATAGATGTTGCAGCTGGCAGCAATGGTTAACGCACGGATCTGTCAGCCTTTAAGACTCAGTCTTCGAAGACCTCAGTAAAAACGGGATGGGGAGAAGATCGAATATGTGAAAGGGTTAGACGGAATGCATCAGCAGCGGCCTGTTTCAGTTTATCCAACTGTCATGATTATGTCAACAATGCCGTTCATACACCATTAACTCGTAATTTTCACTCTATATTTTTTCGCTCATGTACTACAAGTAGTAAACGATGAAAGCGTACACTACACTATTCTGTGTCCATTATAATCTCGACCCGGAACCACTCGAATCTCGTAAGTATGCAGCAAGTAAGCCGAGCGAACTTGTGGCACCGCGCGACGGCCAAAATAGCAGGAGACTAGTTGTAAGTGTGTAGTGCAAGTGAGATATTGTCAGAGCGCCCATACTTAGATATAACGATTAGGGTCATCAAACAAGGCCCTTGGCTGACCGTAAGGCACCGGCGGTTGTAATAGAAACGTCAAAGCGGCCTACATTTTTAACCGTAGATGGATTAATCATTCCTGGAGATGACCCAGGGTCTACTCAGTAAGTACGCACCTTAACCACTGAGTTATCTGATTCTCGATAGAAAGTTGAACGGATTTCCAGCCATACCCTGTAAGCACTTGGGGACGACTCTCTAGGTCTCATCCCGAAAAAATCACAGAAAGATTTGGACTGCCCACGCATTTTCAGACAAGGATGAGCACAAAATGGCTGCACACTATACCTTCAGAACTCTTTACTTACGAGAAGGGTTCAGAACGGCATAATGCAATGCTTCGGGCATCTTGTGGAAAATACGCATAGTCAGGGCTGAATCAAGTTATTAGGTCAATCAGTTAATAAGCAAGAGGAACGGAGATGAACGATCTCTTCATTCCCAAGCGGCTCGAGACAATCCGGGAAGTTCGGATGCACGAACTCTGATCAAAAGGCCTCCAAACACATCACAAAACGTCGTAAGTATCCCTCACATCAAATATATCGGTTGTGTCCCTCCGCTCGTACTTCACGCTGCGTGGCTGGGTTGTTGAGTCAATACTCAGCCGGAAGAAACTATTTAGCTCTAGTTACAAACGGAGTGTTAGAACCTAGGGGCGTAGACTGCGTCGAGTCGATGACTCAAAGGACTCGGTGAGTGGTTACAATCAAATCCAGGGATGTAGATCCATTAAAAGCAGGTTTAAACCTGATTAATATGTAGTTCTTCGTCAGGAAGGTAAGCGCAAAACACGAGACGAAATCCACGCATTTTGTTACTCATGACCACGCCCAGAAGCATTCATGTTCGCATTGCTTTTCATTGACTGCGACTGTTACAAGGGAGACAGCTGAGTTTCCAAGCTTCCCAGACCAAAGAACTCAGTGGCAGTGTGCTTTCAGGTCTTCTACGCTTCCAGGCGAAAACATATCCAACCAGGCCTGCGGCACTCCAAGTACCAGGTATCATTGCCGACAGCATGTCAGTAGTCAACACCAATGATTCACTGCAGTACATAAATTACCAGAGTGACCAACTCCAACAAGTGACATGAATATAAGTAAAGAAATAGCGTTCGAGCCCCGTTCTCGTGTATAAACTTTCGAATCGTTCACATTTCGCGATTTTACCCATTATTATTGTCCAAAAATGAGCGCTCCCTAGCATGATTTACACTGTATTGACCAAAGTTGAAGTATGGAGCGAAGAAGGTTATTTCGTTTATGACAAAATCACCAATGATGCTGCAAGCAACGAACCTTTAGGGTTCACAACCCGCCCCATGATGGCTGCGTGCAAACCGCCAAACAGTGGTGTCAAATATTTTGAAACCCCGCGATCTTGTCATTGGTTCAAGGGAGGCTCAGTATTCGCACAATGGTGCTGGACTTCCGAAAGATATGATGTGTCCCTGACAGATTAAAGTAATGGGACAATTAAGTTGCGAGTGCCAGCCCAAATTATGAACCTTATTCAGGCGTCCTGGGGGTCTCAGATATGCTGGGAAATTATCCCACAAGAATTTTTAACCAGAGGAACGATTGCTTCAATGAACAATGAAATTTAGTGAGGTGCAGAATATGGAAATAGATCGAGACACCTTTTGGTTTCAGCACGAACGCAACAAAATGCAACATTTTGGCAAAGAATGCTTTACTATACTTATAAATGTTTTGCAGCTGAGGACATTGTGTGGATAATGTGCACTGTTCAAGGCTTCAATAGGTGGAAATGGCTGAATATATTCGGTGTCTATACGCGCGTAGGAAGCCAACTCCCCCAGAGACTTACAACGGTGGAACATGAATTATGTTCAGAGATTCTGCAACCACCCGATTAGTGAATGGTTTCGATTCATGAGGACATAACCTATGAGCTACGTTCAGAACTTCATGGATTCACGAATTGATACCCAAGATTCCCGGGTCGGTTTTGTTCTTGCCGTTCAGCGTTTGTGGTTCGCCTGTAAGGCACAAGTGGAAAAACGGCGCAGCAGCGCTTTTTATGTTCTCAGCGTTGGGCAGTATGCTTGCCAGCGCGAGGATTTGCACAAATGTCTGATAGTCCTTTGACCTGGGTTCTAGAAGTTGCGTGGACAAACGTCGGTGAAAGGCCATTCCACGCAGCTACTACCCGAAATGAAAAAAAATTTCGCCTAATAAATGCGTACGCTCTGAGCTTGGAGATTTTCTTACCATGTCCCCGCCGTGTCTGTTGGGTGAACGGTGAAATCCTGTCGGCCAAGCTTTCTTCAAGGAGGTGACGATGCCCCAGAAGAAGGAGGTCAAGCACGGCGAGAACCGTTTCGTAGTTCACGGATTTGAGGCCGGCAACCATTCTCGTAGCGGCCCGCTGGACACGCTCAATGAGGGGAAGGTGCGTCGGATTATCCGTAAAATGGCAAATGCCTTTTGCGCCGATTTCTCATGGTGTAGTGAAAAGGACAAGTTTGAGGAGGCCCAGATGTCCAAATCTTTTTTGGCATTAATCCTCGTGATGTTTTCTGGTCCCTTTTCACCATGCATAACAAAGGCATTCGCTGGATCCCCTCGAAACGACACATGGACGCACTTTTCGTCATTCAGAGGAAGGTGCCAGTCCAACGACCACTGCTTGGCAGCGTCTACATCCATTTGGAGGGCATTGGCATTGGAACTCCAGGATTTCAAGTCGTCCGCAAAAAGTAGACATGAACTCGCAGGAACGTCTGGGAGGTCGTTGACGTAGATCAGAAACAGGAGTGGTCCCAAGATGGAGTCTTGAGGAACTCCAATGGAGACCGGCGCTGGAGAGAAATAGGTCGAATCTATTCTCACTCGGGATGATCTGTCCGATAGGAACGCCTTGATCCAACGAAGGTTTTTCCCTTGAATCCCGTAAGTCTCGAGTTTCTGGAGTCGAAAATTATGCCATCTGATATAAATCTTTTGTCCTTGGCTTGGGTTAAGCTGTCCATAAACACGAGCATTTCTGTCACCCAAGAACGAGTTGGGAGAAATCCGTGTTGAGCTGGAGATATCAAGTCCCTGAAAGAAAGTCATCCGGGCTTACTCGATTTGGGATGCGTTCCATCAACTTGCACGGCACGCTAGTGAGGCTTATGGGCCTGTGGTTGCTAGGCGATAGTCGGTCACCAGTTTTGCAGATTTCTGTGACAATCGCTTCCTTCCAAGCAGAGGAAAGGTGGACTTCGTCAAGTGACTGACGGAACGCCAGGTAAATACGATTTTCCAGCGTAGACGACGTTTCGTTCAGGATCCTTGGATGGACCTCGTCGGGCCCAACTCACAGAATGGGTTGATCTTGTGCAAGGGTTCACGGGTGTCCTCCACCGTGAAGATCAAGGTGGTTCGAGGCTGGTCGTGGTTCCGCCTTGACAAGAGTGGATGTGACGAGGACGCTGGGGCTGAATATAGACCAGCACAGGGTTCTCTGTATACCTCAGATATCGCGTTAACTGATTCCCGACCATTCTCTAACCCCCCTACGAATCGGGTCCAATAGGCATTTGAGTTTAGCGACGTAACAATTATTGGACAAGTAAAGGATTCTGGTACCACTTTTTCCAAGTCTCTTGACCCACTCCGAGCTAATGTAGGACTTAAATGGCCCTTTAGTCCGAATATGTAGTGTTACTTAAATGGTTGTTTTCTTTTTTCTATTTTTTCCCCGGCCAACTTACAACTCGTACTGGTCTAGTCCATACACCAGATGAATATTTCAACTCTGTCTAGCGACTATTGCTCTCAGCCAAATTCTACTGACGAGAACCAAAACAAAGCTTGCTCTCTTTTTCAAATCATTGTTGACTTAAATGCCCACTAAATTTAAATATGCAGTGCTACTTGCCTGGTTGTTTCTCCTTTTCCCCAACCAACTTATACCTCGTCCTAGTCAAGTCGCTACTCCGGATTGCTCTATCAGCTCTATGTAGTGACTGGTGCTCTCAGCCTAACGCTAACTGACTAAAACCAAACCAGTTGGCTTTTTCTTCACTACCAGAGCGCATTCCGCGCTTGTATATTTATCCGTCTGATGATGCGCCCCACTAAACACAAACACGATATCGCGGTACGCTTTTGCTCGATATGGTTGCTCACACCACCGCTCCGACGCCGTTAGCATTGGTGCGCTCGACGTGGATATCACCATTCCACTCCCACCGCCTCGTTAGCAGCCGTCATCTTACCCCTCCGCTACTTGCCTTTACCACCTTCTGTAGGCTTTTCATTGTTCAAATTGACTGAGCTGTCTTCACTGGCCTTGCTTTCCCCCGACCAGAGAAAAATTGTTAGCTGGAGTATTCATTAATGCACAAACCGCTTGGATGGTTTTCCACCTAGCAGATCTGATAGAATACACGAGGGATAAGAATCTAATGTGGCCTCCCTCACGCCCTGCAGGGAGGTTCGCCCCGTTACTTTGCACTGTGGTGCGTTCGTATGTCCGCCAACCCCCCAGTAGCAAAGTTGCATGGGCGATCGCCTGGACTTTTATTTAGGAAATCGAAGAAAGTACTCCTGACTTCTGTTTGTTGCTGCTGGTGTTGGGCACTCCTCGGCTGAGCTATGTATAATAACAATAATAATAATGTTTATTCCCAACTTGTGGGTGGCATACCGTTGGCATGATCATGCGCTTACAGTCAGAATATGGCACGACTGGGGAATTTGCGGGTAGTGAGGATTCGGCGAGAAGGGGACAATGTCATGAATATTGAGAAGTATTCGATGAAATAATAATAAGAGGCTTCTTCCGCAACTTGTAGGGAACAATGGGCATGAGGTCCGACCAACTCAAATACTCAGTCGGCTGACATGAACTAGAACAGAAAACCATTGCTGGCCACAAGTGGCCTTGGGCGGTTATGTAAATGGCCGGAGTCACAACGAGCAACGCCATTACCACAAATGAAGGAAAAAATAAAAACTGGCCTCTCATATGTCCAAAAATAGAAGTTAAAAATACACCTGGGAAAACCAGAAGATACTTTGCAATCCCCATGGCCTACACCGACGAGCACAGCTGTATCTGCCTTCGTCAGAACAGAGGCTACACCGCACCAAAGCCCATTTCGTTAACCAAACATACACCAACCTGCCGCCTCAACCGGTGGACACAAATGTTTTCACCGCTATGCACCACCCTCCGGTTAAGGCTGACAGCAATGCTTCGGGGACTGGTGACTAATTCTCTTGATCATACTTCCTCTCCTACAGAAAGGAAGAAGGCCTTCGCTGCGGGTTATTTATTAGGAAATGCCAACTGGCCAGTTACAGACTATTGGACAGGGAAGCGAAACTCTCATTTGTTTCCTATTTACAAGAACTGGGCATTCGTCTTCTCCTGGACGCGTCTTTACAAACTTACCTGAATATTCATCGACTCCAATCATTCATTGCTCGAATCCAAGCAAGTGCTACAAAGCGACTCCACATATTCCGCACCAGATCTCCCTTTTAAAGAGATGCAAAGCAAATGAGCAAGAAGAAAACATTCTACTCACGTGCCTTCTCATCAGTAGTATCACCGTTACACTGGTACTACCCAACTCATGGAATAAATGTAGGATTACCAGTTGTCCTGGAATTTCACTCCCCTAAGCCGTTAAACACCTGATTTCCACAAAAGCACTGCGTGCTTATATTAGCCTTTGCTAGATCCCTTGTAATTTAATATCATATGTTAGCAAACCCAATCCCTGGTCGTCCATCTATGTCTTATTCCATATAGTCACGTCGCCCTAATTGCGGCAGACGTCAAGTTTTTCTTTCTAGGTATATTGATGCACATTATCCCATTTGATGTCTCCCCAAACTCACCACGCTCTACTAATCTCATTCCACCCCGTCATCTTCCAGGGCATTGAACTTCGGCAATGTCCAATGACCTGGTTGGCCGTTATCCAGTACACCTGGCCCATGATCTACGACCACGGGATCCTCAACCGGACCAAGAAAACCTGCGATCCCATATCAGCTCCGTCCACCTTATCTCCTTGGCCAACTTGAAATGAATCCCGCTGCCTAAAGGAATTCACACCCCAGCCCAATAACCCTAAAAGTGACGTCCATTACGGGGCTGTCCGAACTCCGAAATATGTCAGGCCAATGATGGCACGGCACTTCCATACCCAGTTAGATGGCACACACGCAACTATTCCATCCCCTCTATCAACCGTGCCTTCTCGCTCACCCGTTTCGTTAACTGCAAAAAACTGCACAAAAATCGTCTTTGGGGTGAGTTCGTTTGTATCCGATGAATTTTGGTTCAAATTTGGCCAGCCTGATTTTCTGCTGCAAATTCGGCTTGCCCTTTCCACAAGTTCAAATCCACATACGGTGTTGAGTTAGCCCTATGCTCCAGCGCCATGTCCCCATCCAACCTACCTCTTGCATCTGACTTCCCTCCAACAGTACAGACAGCGAGTCAGCTTAGTTTCAGACTACACCACATTTTTGAGACAAAACTTGTCATGTTCCCCCAAGTCGAATTATTCCATCTCCATGCTCGTTGTGGCTCCGGCCATTTACCCAACCGCCCAAGGTCACTCATGGCCAGCAATGGTTTTTCAGTTTCAGTTCGTGTCAGCTGGCTAAGTCTTTGAACTAGTTGGACCTCATGCCCATTGTTCCCTACAAGCTGGGGAAGAAACCTATTATTGTTCCATTGAATACTTCCCACCGTTTATGCCATTGTCCTCTTTTCGCTCAATTCCCGCTACCCGCCGATTCCCCAGCCGTGCTTCAGGCTGATCGTAAACGTATGATCATACCAGAAGGTATGCCAACTACAAGTTGGGAATAAACATTATCATTATCAGTATCATCACTGTTACAGCACTCATGGATTCTACGTTCCTGTTCCCCAAGAACAACGTGGAGGGCTTGTTTATGCGACGGTCTTATGTATTCAAACACCACATTTTTGTTTTTCCGAGCGAGGTTCAGAAAGGTGGCTTGTTTTCGTGTGTTTAATTGGAGGGTTTCTGATTCACAGCGGTTCTGCATGTTGCAAAATCCCAGCTCATCTTCTGTGTCTCCTGTGGTCGACTTTTGAAAAAAGTTGGAACCTCTTTTCCAGGAGTCGCCGAATCCTTTTAGACGGTATCCGGCTCATTCGACTGCGTGCTGGTTATTCTGGGACAAACACCGCGTCAGCTTCGTGAACTTTCTGGTCCTGCATAGGTCTTCCAATTTAACTTGTTCAAGAAAGATGCGCATTCCTGAAAAGTCTTCACGGCAGAAGTCTCGAAGCCACGTT